CGTTAATTGACATTCAAGCTCCCCCAAAACTCATTCGCCTCTATATGTCCATGTAAAATCCTCCACTCCAGCCAAACTAGCTTGCTCATCATTCCCTGAACTTTGCTCCTGCTTCTCTACCTGTTTCCACCGCCTCTCCATTTATCTCAGTTCTACTGGTCTTCCAAGGCCTTACTGAGAGACTCTGAGGTCTTGAAAGTTGGACAGTAAAGAGCTAAACAAGGAAGCCAACAAAGTTTCACACCTGCCTATGACTGTTAACTATTCTTAGGGCTCTAAAAGAGCTTCATGTCATTTTCTTGCCTGGTGATCATTGGCTAGTATGGTATTACTAGATGTACACCCTAAGTGTTTGTGATGGGGTGTGTCAAGGATATAATGGAGAACAGGAGGAGAATTAGAAGTGCCTTCAGAGTGACCGGATTCATGCAGCGTGTATTATTGCAGGGATGGGGGGAGGCACTGAGGTACAGTAGAAAGAGCACTTGACTATTCAGAGGATCTGGCTTCAAAATCCCATTTCTCCCTGTGTGGCCTTGGGCAAGTCTAACTTCCCTGGGTCTCAGTTTCCTCATCTGTAAAATGAGGGAGCTAGACTATGTGGCCTCTGTGCAGGGGTGTATTGGAGCCAGATCAAACTGGCTCGCAAGCTGATGGTTAAAATTTAAGTATATGAGCACCTTAGAAATCAACAAACACTACAAATCATGGGCTCTGTTTATTGCTTTATTGGTTGTCTAGAGTCATTTAAGAAACTGTTAATCGTGCAGATGAAACTTAAAAGTGTATCATGTATACATTTTTTTTTTCAGCGAGACATTTGCTAAACATTGACTGACTGTCTTTTACCCTTATCTTTAAGGTCCCAGTAAAATCTATGATCCTGTGAGTTAGAAAGTAAGTTTGATTGTGGAAAGTTTGCAGTTGGGTCTTACTGTGAGCTCAGTGGGTTGGTTTTATCTTTTGGGTGGATTTTGATTTATAGGAGTTTAAAGTAAATGGCTACTGAAACTGGTTGGAAGCTGCCACACAGATGGCGCGTTGGGCTCTGAGGCTGTGAGGCCCTCAAATGTAGTGACAGCAGCACATGAGTGATAACAGCCCCATGAGTTCTTCTTTGGGGAAGGTGCTAGTTAACAAATTGAGTGTGGAAAGTGAGTACATTTAGTATATGTGAATAACCCTGAAATATCAGCTCAAGTTTCATGATTTGGTAGAAAGACTACACTGGCTGTGGAGTCAAATGTCATCTTGGACATTTACTGCCTATATGACTTTGAATAAATTAACTTCCCTGCACTTGAGTTTCCTCATCTGTAAAGTGTGAGGCTGGGACTAGATGACCTCTAAGGTAACCTGGGGTCCAGAGACTTATTTTAAAAAACATTTTGATAGCTGTAATTGAGTATAATTGATGTCCTTTGTAATCCTATGTATTTTATTTTATGCATCCAAAAACATTCTGAGAATGTGGCCCATGGGGTTCACCAGACTGCCAAAGGGGTCCAAGACACAAAAAAGGTTAAGAATCCTTGGTCTGGATCCATGATATTGCTTCCTTGATGAAACCTTCCTTTACCACCCTAAACCCACCATGATCTCTCCCTCTCCCAAATTTCCACAGCATTTACTATCCATACGGTCATTTGGCTCTTAGCATAGGCTATCTTGGGCTTTTGGTTATCTTGTTACATATTTGTCCTGTTCAGTCACACCCCATTCATAAACCCGCAGAGAAGGTAGGGATGAAAGATTCACCTGGTTGCCTCCTTACCCAGACTTTATCTAGACTTCCACTATTGACCTTCTGTAGCAAGCCTGGACCTGTCTCCAACACTCTACCCTTAAATTACCTGCAGTATTACTAGTGGTGTTCCTACTGGCCTTAGCCCATCACTTGAGGTGGACAAGCATAGTAGTCTATACATACATAACTCTCTCTCTTTTTTTAAATCAACCTCAGAGCTATTTGAAATCATACACATTATATTTTTATTTTCAGAAGCAGTGTGATATAATAGGAAGAGCACTTAAGAGTGTCAGAGTGTATCCTACTCTGGGTTTCACAGTGTGGTTCAGTTGGAAAATATGACTCAGAGGATCTGGGTTCAAATCTTTATTATTATTATTTATGTGACCTTAGGCAAGTTACTAAACCTTTCTGAGTCTCATTGGTTAACACAGTAATCAGATTATAAAATTAATTATGGGGAATGGATCTAAAAGCCCACTGAATTTTGGGCTTTTTTCATGTTGCAACACAGGATCATAAATAGTTTTTTTTTAAAGTTTTTGCCTCTCTACTGATTCTGTTTTGTCTCCTAAATTTGCACAGCTTCCTGGCATTACCAATGCCTCTTGCAGACTACAAGGCATCTTCTCCTCCTCCACATACACTCATGCTCTTGCCTCTTCCCCACATCTGTACTCCCATTTATGACTCTCCATGATGCTAAGCTAGCAGAATACAAGAACTGTATTCTGCAGCCAACTCAGAGTTCTTCCATAAACACAGATTTCATGAACCTCTAGCCAAAGGGGAACAGAAAGAAAATACATTTAAATTGACCATTACCTCAATTTAAATACTCCCTCATTTCCTCTGAGCCACCCCACCCCTCCAACCCCAATTCTATTTCTTTTAAATCCCTGGCTGCTATATGGTAAAAAAAAAAATTTGGACAACAATCAAATCATTGTATCCACATGAGAAGGACAGTTAGCAGGGATGGTGGGATCTAGTGAGGGTTTTTTCTTCTTGGAAATTTCTTGGAGAATTGAGGATTCTTGGGCATGTTTGTAAGCAGCAAGGACAGAACTAGTAGATAAGGAAAGATTGAAAATTAGAGAGAGAGAGAGAGAGAGAGAGAGAGAGAGAGAGAGAGAGAGAGAGAGAGAGAGAGAGAGAGAGAGGATGATAGAGGGGGTAAATCTGCTGGCAAAGACGGAAGGGGATAAGACCAAGATTATATGTAGAGGGCTTGGCCTTGGCAAGGAGAAGGGCTCTTCATCAGTCACTAGAGGAAAGAAGGAAATGTTGGAGAATGATGACGCCAAAGGATTGTGATTAAATGAGGATGGAAAGAAGAGGAAGATCTCGCTGAATGGCCTTGGTGTTTTTTAGTAAGGTTTTCAGGCAAGTACTTTGGATGAGAGGATAGCAGGAAGGGGTACTGTGGGAAGCTACAGAAAGAAGAGAAGGTTTGGAATAACCATTGTGTAGAGTGAGATAGAAAATCAACCTGAGAGAAGCAAAAGGATTGTCTCGCTGCCGTTGTCAGGGTCCAAGAGAGATTAAAAAACACAAATTTGTAGGGTACCCAACCAGTACTGCTACATGACTTCCTTCATTTCTGGAGTGTAGGAGGAGGAGGAAGATAGTAGGAGTAATCCAGGGATGGGGTTTCACAGACTGTGAGTGGAAACGGGACAAGGGAGTAGGGGATCTGAGAACAAAGGACGGAGTAGAGTTCAATGGGCAGCTAGGAGGCGCTACCAGCTGATAGAGTGCCGGGCCTGGAATCAGGAAGACTCATCTTCTGACTTCAAATCTGGCATCAGACAATTACTAGCTGTGACCCTGGGCAAGTCATTTAACCCTGTTTGCCTCAGTTTCCTCATCTGTAAAATAAGCTGGAGAAGGAAATGGCAAACCACTCTAGCATTTCTGCCAAGAAAATCCCAAATGGGATCACGAAGAGTAGGGCATGACTGTAAATGACTGAACAACAACAAGAGTTGAACTGGTTAACTAATAGGTCAAGATTTGGGAAGGGAATAAAGGGCACTCCAGACAGAGCAATCATGGGTAATGGTTTGGGAAATTCTGAGATGCTGGAGAAATTGCAGTCAGGACAAAGAATGGGTTTGGGAGGAGTAAAGTATAAGGAGAAAGGAATGATAGCAGACTGATTAGATAAGGAATTTCTGATCTCTAAATCATGGAATGGAACACTTGTGGCCTGTAAGGGCCCTTTTAGCTCTAAATCAATCATCTATGACTTAGCTCTCAGAATGGATCCTTGGTAGAATACTGAAAACTAAAAGTAATTCAATTAAAATATTTTATAATGAACATAATCATCAGCAAAAACAATCTAACAGAACCAAATGAATTGTAAAAACAGCAGACAAGCCAATGTTTTCCTGTGCTTGGTTTTCTGTCCTTTATAGATCAGTCTGAACTTCCACCATAGAATCACAGACTCCAGTTTGGTTTTCTAAAAGTGATCCTTGATAAGAAATCATCAGTTATTTGTTAACTAAGACAAGGGCACCTCTACATTCTTTACAGTAACAACAAATGAATTTGGGTCTCAGAATCTCACATGTTTTCCAGAAACTATAAAACAAGATTAAAGATGTAGAGCTGTAAGGGACCTCAGAAGCTATACAGTCCAACTTCCTAATTTTACAGGTGAGGAAACTGAGTCCTGTAGGGGGTAAGTGACTTACTCAAGGTCACAGCAGAAGCAGAAAATGAACCCCGCACCTCTAACTCCAGAGGCAGAATTCTTTCCACTGTAGAATGCTACAAAGTTAAAAAGACATAGAACTATTTAATGAGTGTTGTTGAACTGAATTTAGTTTGTAAACAATTTCTCTATGAAGCTAGAAGGCAGATGGTTCAATGGCTATCACCATACCTTTGAAAAAGTAACAATTTTCTCTCTGGTTCTCTCCCAACTATTAAGAACTTCAGTGAGTATTTCCAAAACATCTAAAATGATGAGAGACAGTGTGGTGTGGCGGATAGAGAGTTGGTCACTGAGTCAGGAAGGACTGGGTTCAAGTCCTGCTACTGCATACTTGTTTTGTGACACTCAGCAAGTTGTGTAACCTCATAGTGTCCCCTGCAAATTTTCTCTAACATTATAATTTGCAGAAAAGGTGCCAAGCTGTCCTGCTAGAAAGAATTTCCTCATCAGGAGCTCCATATGCCATTAAAATCACAAGCATGCTTAACAAACAAAATTAAAGATGATATGTTTACTACTTACCAATGCCTTCAATTCCTCCCCAGTCAGCTTTTAGAGGTTTGGGACTTAGAGGAAAATCAAAATGTTCCTTGCCACTTCCAAGTTTAGCAAAGCTGAAGAGATAGGCGACTATGTCGTGCAAGGGCGCGATAATCCTCAGAGTGAGCTTCAGGGCCCTAACGGCATCCTAAGAATAACACCAACACATGGAGAAACATTTTAGGAAGGCTTCACATCATCTGCAAACCTAAACAATTGTGTGTGACTAAGAGCAATTGTATACTCCCTAAAAACATCCAGTTAAATATTGATCACAGGATGTACTGGGCAATATCCCCAGGAGAAAACGACTGTCCAGTTAATAAATTAGGATTCTGGATCACTGGAAAAGAAAGTGGGCTGGTTATGTGGAGATAGACGGCCCACAGGCTACACTGGCATTCATACACAGAGGGAGGCCTCTGGGAAATTTGGTGTATCCAGACAAGGGTCCTATAGGAAGATATGAACAAGGTGTGAATGGGATAGGTAGTCGTGGATAGGTTAGCAATCTGTACCAAGCTGGCACAATGGATAGAGTATGGGATCTGGAGTCAGGAATACCTGAGCTCAAGATGTGCCTCAGACACCTACTAGCCGTGTGACCTTAGGGAAGTCAGTTACCCTGTGTCTACCTCAGTTTTCTCATCTGTAAAATGGGGATAATACTAGTCCCTACCTTCCAGGATTGTTGTGAGCATAAAGTAAGGTAATATCTGTAAAGCACTTACAGTATAGCACCTGACGCAGAGTGAACACTACATAAATGTCAGCTATTATCATCATCATCATCATTTGGAGATAGTATACACATTGATGAAATCACTGATCATCAATAAAGTCATGGATCTGTCATTTGAAGGTAAGCTCCTTGAGAGCAGGGATAGTTTCATTCTTTTTATTTCTATCTGTAGCACCTTACTAAAATGCTTGCTGACTGACTGATCCATCAGAGTATCAGTGCTCTGTTTAGTGTGTCTACTGTCAAGACTACTCATTCACTGGTTTTTAAGTAAGATGATCTGCCTCAGTTAAGACCATTGGTAGCCATGAGCAAATAAAAATGTACCTGAGGGTCCACATGTGTGTCTGAATTTTACACAGCTAATATTTCACAATAGGGACCTAGGCTTACACAAGGGTCTGATATACCCAGCATAGTCAAGGCATAAACTTATTTAGTTTTAAATATTTCTATAGGCATTTATATAACAAATAATCACTAAATACTGGTTAATTAATGTTAATATTTAAGAATAACTAATTACAGTATTGTAACAGATAATATTATTGTGTTTCCAGTAAACACAATAGGTTTAAGTCGGTTAGGTCAAATAGATTTCATTCAGAGAACAGGAAAAGAATGCTCTGAAGTCAGCATTTTGAGCAGTACATATTTCACTAAATGGATATCACATGACAAAAGTTGCTCCCGGGTATAAGACACCAAGCTAGGCACCAAAGACACAAAAACAGCTATGACACAGATATAATTCTCAAGAAGTTTACAGTCTAATGGGGGAGGAAAACATTAATCCAAATAACTGTGACATGGGAGTGTGAAAAGGTACAAAGGAGAGGTCCAGGCAAAGTGCTATAAGAAATATGACCTGGTAGAAATCAGTTCAAATGGAAGATGGGAGTGGGGTAGGGATAAGGGTCGGTCAATGAAGGTTTCACGAAGGAGACAGTGCCTTGAAGAAAGGGAAGGACTTCAATCCATGGCCTTGGTTGGAGGGAGTCCATTCTAGGAATGGAAGATCTTGTGAGCAAAAGTATAAAGATGAGAGAGGGGAGAATGAGAAAAAAGCACATTTCTGATTGGAACTTAGAGAATAGGAAGGATAGTGTTGTGAAAAAAAAGCTAGAAAGGAGACTGGAACCAGACTGTGGAATATGGCTTTGAAGAAGGATAAGGAAGGAAAGAGAATCAACATTTACATAACACCTACTATGTACCAGGAACTTGACAAATATTACCTCATTTGATCCTCATAACAACCCTGTGAGATAGGTGCTTTTATTATCCCCATTTTACAGATGAAGAAACGGAAGCAAATAGCAGATAAGGGACTTGCCCAGCTAGTAAAGGTCTAAGCCTGGATTCAAACTCAGGTCTTCCTGAGTCCAGGCCCAGTGCTCTGTCCATTGTACCACCAGCTGCTTCTATTTTATTCAGTAGGCAATGAGGAGCCACTGAATGTTCTGGGGATAGTTTTTTTTTACATGATCAGAGCAGTTACATTAGGAAGATTATTTAGATATCTGTGGTAAGGATAAACTAGATTCGAGAGACAGGAGAGGCTGGGGGGACAGTTAGGAGGTTGTTAAAATAGTCCAGGTAACAGGCAATAAGGATTTGAATTTGAAGAGTAGAAGTAGGAGAAGAAAGAAGAAGTCAAATAGGAAAGATACTGCGAAAGTAGAGCTGACAGACACAGTATTTGACTGGATGTGGGGTACAAGGGAGGATGTGTCACAGAGGACTCTAAGATACTGATCCTGTGTAATTGGCAGAATGATGGTTCCATCAATGGAAACTGGGAACTATGGGGAAAGTAGAAGAGGAAGGAAAATCAACCAATAAATATTTGTCAGGTACCTCCTATGTGTCAGGTACTATGTTAGATGCTAGAAATACTGATATAATAAAAATATAATAACCTCTACTCTCAAGGACCTTACATTCTAACAGGGGAGACCACAAGTACATATATAAGCATATACAGAATAAATATAAAGAGAATAAGTGTAAAGTAATGAAATACAAGGTAGTTTGGGAAGGAGAGCAATAGAATTGGGGGGGGTGCAAAGAAAGGTTTTATGGAGATAATTAGTTTAGTGTTGCACATTATGACTTTGAGATGCTGGCCTATCTATGATCTAGTACTGTCTAGTCCTTCTGTATCTGCATCCATCCTTTTATGGACCTCTAATGACATAGTTTCTCAAAGTCATGGATCGACCTTGCCAAAGTAATACATAATTGAGTTATGTTTGTAGCCCCAGTTACATGTATCTTCTGGGACTCAAGGGTGGGGTCTGGGTTTTTCTTTTCTTTTTTTAAAAAACAATTTGGTAGGAAACCAAGGATTACTCAAGAATGTTGGAAGCCTGAGAAAAGAACATTAATAACTTGGAAAGAGCAAAAGAAACAAAGAAATAACAAGGCATGAGAAGAACTATAATAAAGCAAACAAATAATATTTGGTATCTGTGAGAAAATGCCAGCTAATTAGGGGAGAGATGTCATTGGGCACCCCTGTTGCTTGCTGGAAATCAGAACTTGATAGAACTGAGGAATGTGGTCTGTTTTATAGTGTGGGTACACTGAATAGTAAGATAAAAATAAATTGTTTTTCTCAGTCTTTTAGAAAATACAAACCTTTTCTGGGAGAGTTTTGAACATGATCAGTACCTCCAAGTGATGGGGTATGAACCATAAATTAAGAAAGGTTCTTCCATCAGAAGACAGCAAGCATCGTGGCCAGGGTTGAAAACTCCTGTAATATTAGAGGGAAATCTCAGCTCTTAAAGCATAGATTATTTAAGCAATAAAAGTACCTTATAATTGTATAATGATGATCACAACTATGCTCTATAGTCCATTAAGTTTTTTAAAGTGCTTTCCTCATAACCACCTTGTAAGGCAGGTATTAAAACCTATTCATGGTATAATAGATTTGGACACAGAGGCTACTTACTTACTAGGCCCCAATTTATTGGTCTTGTTAGGCCTCAAAGTTTCTTTTGACTATATCTATTTTTACTATTGTTTTATAATTTTCACTTTTGCCTTTTTGGATTTGGCTCCATCTCTTAATTTTAAAACAGTACAAATCTTTGCTTTACTTGTATTTCTTATATACAGCAAGTGGTTGGCTTTTGCTTTCTAATCCATTCTGCTATCCTTTCTTGTTTTATGAGTGCGTTCACTCCATTAAGAGTCATGGTTCTGATTATTAAGTTCGTTTTCACCCTCTATCAAATATGGTCACAATATTTTTTCTTCTAAAAAGCAATACAATATATCTTTATTTTAGGTTTCCTGGAAAAATCCAGGCCCAGTCTCTTTCTCATGTTTCTTCTTCCTCTTCCAGCCCAGACACAAATCATTGGTATTGTTCTTCCTCCCTACCCACCTGTTTTTATTGTTTTGTTTTGTTTTTTAAATTAGGCCTCCATAGTTCCATCAACATTTGGCCCTTTTAAAAAACTATTCAAACATGTTTACCTTTCTTCAGTGTCTTTTGCATGCTATGTTTGCATTTTAAAGACTAACTCTTAATGATTGTTCTTTTATTGTGTTTGCTGTATTTCTTGCATTTGTGAGGTGATGGGGAGAGATAGGTTTAGTTACAATCTCTCACTTAACCATGTTATTGCCTTTCTCTTAAGCTCCAAAATGAGAGATGAGATCTCCACTGGCCATCTTTCCACATTCCCCAACTGTCTGCTAATTGGTGGAAGATCCATTTAGATGTATAACTCCAGCAATGTTAAGAATGAGACAGGTCCTGAGTGAAGCATGCAGACCTGTCAGCCTTCAGCAAAAGAGACCATGGAGAAGTACTTTTCATCTAACAGATTCAAGACAATCTCCTAGAGAACCAATTCATGGCTCACTGAGTTGTATGAAGTGTTGAGCCCTACATTCCTTAGCATTTACTGAGTAGGCATGATAGCTAGAAGAAATAGTGTGAGCCTCTCTAAGCCCTCAGTTTCCTCATCTAAGGGGTGGGGTGGACTTGATTGTTTTTAAGGCCAGATTAAGCACTAACAGTCTATGACTCTAAGAGGAAGGTCCAGGTTAGAAAAGAGAAGAGTGGCCACCTACCATTTGGGCAGCATAACAAGAAGTGGGAATGGGTTAGTGGGAAGGATATTACAAGAATTGAACAGGATTATAGGCAAAAATAAAAAGGTGGAGGCTGGTGCTATGCAAAATGATCTTATGTTAAGCTTTGTAACTGGGAAGAACCATGAAAAAATATATAAAAATAGGCCCAGGGAGCTAGAGGGTCTGTTCCAAAGGGATTATTGGAAACAACATGGTTGAACTGCTTTAATGACTAACAAAGAATAAGTAATTAATAATAGGATTTATGGCTACTCATCAACAGGAAGCCCTAAACACCAACCAATTATGTTTCCCCTTTGTTCAAAACCATTAGACATGGAAACAGAGTAACTTCTACTCAACCACCATTTTGCTGACATTAGGACTTGGGACTTTGACTTTAGGCAGGCAAGTTTTGCCATTTTGAGAAAGAGGAAGGGAGAGAGGAGGCTTTGTTTCTTTCTCTAACAGCCCCAGGACTGGGAAGGCCAAAGGCAGCATTATGTTCTTACAGGAAACCATGTAAAGGGAGGGCTATGTAAGCAAACAGATGTGCTATGAGTTATGACTATTGTTATTAGCAGAAGATGAAGGGGTGCATTGCTTAAAAAGTATAGAAAGGATTTCCCAGGAACTGGAATAAATCAACCTTTACCATTTTAAAAAAGCAAAACCAACATTTTAACTGAGAGACAGCAAGGTCTAATGCAGGGGTGGGAAATCTGCGGCCTCGAGGCCACATGTGACCCTCTAGGTCCTCAAGTGCAGCCCTATGACAGAACCCAAACTTGAAGCTTCTGTCAAAGGGCCGCACTTGAGAAACTAGAGGGCCACATGTGGCCTCAAGGCCTCAGGTTCCCTGCCCCTGGTTTAGTAGATAGAGAGAGACAGCTTTGGAGGGAAGAAGACCTAGGTTCATGGCCTTCCTCAACTCATGCACTGGCTGGGTGATCAAAGGCAAGTCACTTAACCTTTCAATGCCCTGGGCAACCTTCTTAGATTCCAAGTTACAGAGAATGTGCCCATCTGTGTTGGTGAAGGGAGATTCCTCAAGAGGATTTCCCCCAAACAAGGAAATCACACATGCAGTTCTACCCCTATTTACATTGTCTCATTAGCTGAGGGATGAGAGACAGCAACACTGAACATGATCCAAAAGAGAGGCTCATAGAGTTAGAGGTAGAAGGGACCTTAGAGGCCATCTAGCCCCTCATTTTAGAGATGAGAAAACTCAGCCCCATGCTGCCTTACATCATTATTATTCAAAATTATGACACTAATTCAAAATAATTTTTAAAATGCTTGAAGTAGACTATTATCATTACAAGTAGAATTAGCCAAATGAAGTAAGCCAGGCCAGGAAAATAATATACACAATGACTGCAATGATATAAATGGAAACAAGAAGAAGAACAAAACAATCCAAAGTGAATGATGTAAAATTATAAAGATGAAGGTTGGCTCCAAAGTGACATGAGGAGGTACCTCCACCTGCTTCTTTGCAGAGGTGGGGCCTATGGTTATAGTATAGAACATCCATTGTCAGCCTTTTCCCATACATTGGTTGGTTTTACAGAACTGTCTTCCCTCTCCTTTTTTTTTTTCATTCTTTATGTAACATGTTTGGCCTTCAGATACTCTCCCCTTCCTAATCTCCCTTAAAGCTACCAGAGAACCCTGGGGATAAGAGTGAACTGTAACACACTCAGCCATTAGGTAGTAAGGGCCCTAGTAGATGGAAGCCCTAGGGTTGAATCTTATTACTAGAGACACTCACTAGCTGTGTGAAACCTGGTCAAGACACTTAACCTTTGTCTACCCCATTTTCCTTATTTGTAAAATAGGGATAATAATGGCACCTACTACCCAGGGTTGTTGAAATGATAAGATGAGATATTTGTAAAGCATTGTGCAAGCCTTAAAGCTCTCTCTATTATTATTATTATTATTATTGCTCTTGTTATATTACTTTCTGGAAGGTGGGGAAAGGAGGAATATATCAGGAAGTGTAAGAGTTATAAAAAAATCAATATAGATATGTTCTTAAGTGAAATATATAAGCCTTTGTCATTCATACATCTTCTCCTCTCTCCCCTACAGAAGGAAATGAATTGAAACAGGCAATCTCCAAATACCGGAACATTTACTACTAATCCTCCTCTTCCCATCAACCAGGAGGAAAGAGAATTCTGTCAGCAAATCTCTCCTGATATTAGACACTGCTGTATTGCTAAGGAGAGGAAGTTTGGCAAGAAAGAGGGAACAACATAGGAGGGGCCTGCAGTGGAAGAAACTGTACCAAAGCCCTCCTACATCTAGGGCATGGCTACCCTGGGAAGCAAACAAGTTTATCCAGAAGCCATATTTATACATCCAGAAGTTTCTTTATTTAGCAGAAGTAAGAGATACTGGGCAACCCTGTGACATTCACTTCACTTTTATTTTCAGCGTTGGCAGAATAGCACTTCGGGGTACAGGCTGGGTCAACTTTCATTTAGATGTCTACCACCAGTAATGACCACATGCTACACTGATACCTAGCTTTGTACTGGTTTACTTAATCATTAATACATCAATGATGTTATTAATCAATAACATAGCAGTTATCGATTAATACCACTGATTATTAATGGTCAATATAAGATTTAATGATACCATTAATAATTAATGCACTATTAATAATTATATGTATGACTATCAATCAAATGCCAACCAATCATGTTTCCTCTTTGTTCAAAACCAGGAGAGCCCTGGAAATAGAACGACTTCTGCCCAGCCTCCATTTTGCTGGAGGTTTCATCAGGTAATTCTCAACTCTTGACATTCCATGGAGTTTCAGTTTGATGAAGTTCTCTTCTTAGCTGTCACAGAGTTCCTCTGTTCCTGGCCTACAGCAGACCTAAGCTGGTTTCATCTAGTCTTGTTCTCAGGCTTGTGTTGAGGCCTTTTTTTTTTTGGTTGGGTTCAACTGTAACATGGATAGAGCCCAAGAGAAATAAACTGAATGTCCAAAAAGGCGGAAATATATCCCTTTGGAAGAACAAATATCTGACTACAGCCAGGCTACAGGATGAGAGAATGAAATCTGTACTCCTCTTGCTTTTCTAAACAGTAGATGGAATAAGCTTCTGGCTAATGTCAGGAATGAGGAGCACAAATGATCCCTGTACAGAGGACATATTTCCAAGTGGTACCATTTGCTTTTTAGCCAATTTAGTTTCCATCCTTTTTCTTTTTTTTTTTTTCCAACCTTTCTCTGGATTTCTGTCTACTTTGGAAGGACTGGCTATGACTCCTGCCGTCCAGTCCCTAGCAGCCAAGTATTTTGGCAACAGATGTCAGAGTTTACTAAATATCCATAACACTGGGGAACTCGAGAGAGCAATCTAGGCTCGGCAGAGGTACCCATGCAGCTGCTATTTGGAACAAGTTATATGACTGTTTGGTTCCCAGAGATGCTTCTCCCAGAAGATGGACAGAGGTGGATCTCTGCATTGGGAGTCTCACAAAGTACAAGGAGCTAATGGAGGAAACGAAAGGAGGAAAGGGACTCCTATCAGAGACAAGGGATTCACTTTAGCTCCTGTCCTGCCCCCACCCTCTTCCATTCCACATGAGTTATAATACCTATGACAGCCAGGAATTATAGGATGAGGACAGTTTGAGGACTGTGGAAGATATCAGTTCCACATGTCAGCCCAGACTAGATTATTTAGCATCCTATGCTCAACATACAAAAAAAAAGGTTTTTTTCTGGTTTCATGGGGCAGGGAGAGGGGTGGAGGAAGAACTCTCAAAAAGCTTTAAACCCATTTGGTAGAACAAGTACTAAGACAGACACTCCCCATAGGGATACTCTTGCCTTCCCTTTGGTGATAGGTAGATGGCTTATCTGTGCAGCTATGTAGTCAATGCTCCACATTCTGTTCCATCCAAATAATTTGAAGGAAACAAAGTATCAACAACATAGGTCTATTAATAATAATGATAATTATAAGAATGCCATTTTTATCTGAACCACATTAAAAAGACGAGACAAGATAATAATATTAATAGTAATAACACTATCACTAATATGATTTTCCTTAAATGAAGATCTGATCAAGTCACTCCCCTATTCAATCAACTTCAGTGGTTCCCTGTCGCCTCTAGAGTCAAATATAAACCCCTCTGCTTAGCTTTTAAGCCTTTAGCAATCTGTACTCGAGCTATCTTTCCAACCTTCCTGAACATTACTCCCCCTTCCATACTTTCTGCTCTAGCCAATCTGGTCTCCTCTCTGATCCTCACACAAGACACTCCATCTTTCTATCTCCAAGCCTTTGCATGGTCATCTCCCACGCCTAGAATACATTCAGTTCTCCCTCACAGAATCCCTCTCTCCCTTCAAGATTCAGCTCAAGCACCATCTTCAACAAGAAGCCTTTCCTGATTTCTCCAACTGCTAGTGCATTCCCTCCCAAAATACCCTGTATTCATTCTACACATATGTATGTATGGATTGGTATGTTTCTTAGTAGAGCATAAGCTCCTCATGCATAGGGTTTGTTTCATTCATTTTCGTTGTATCCCCAGTGCCTAGCACAGGGCTGGGCATATAGGAATCTCTAAAGAAGAAACACCAGAACGGTTGGGCAAATGTTTGTGTTAATGAACCTGGTCCTTCCAATATTAATAAATTCATGTTGATAAACTGAATGATTTATGTGGGAAACAAGATGAGGTACATATCATCCCCATTTGTCCTGTCTGCTGCTAGGGTTGTACTGAAGATGATTTAAGTGAAACTACAGAGGATGAGCTTAAATCTCAATACTTTTTTTTGTTTTTAAGATCTTATTTTCTTAAACTTTTTTTCCATTAAAAAGCATTTATTTCTCTCCCTCCCACCTTCTCTCCTAGTGAAAAAAAAGAAAAACAAAACTCTTCTAACAAATATGTATATAGTCATGCAAAACTAATTTCTACAATGGCCACATTCTGCACCTGAGGCCCATCACTTCTCCACCAGGAAGCTGGTAGCACTCTTCCTCATTGGTCTCTGGAATTATAACTGGTCATTGCACTGATCAGAGTTAAGTCTTTTGACGTTCTGTTTTTGTAACATTGTCATCATTGCATCAATTGTTCTCCCAGTTCTGCTCATGTCATTTTGCCTCAGTTCGTATAAATCTTCTGTTTTCTCTGAAACTATCTTTTCCATTATTTTTTAATGGTACAATAATATTCCCTTACATTCATATTACCATAATTTGTTCAGTTAATTTATGATCAGCCCTATCCCAGTACTTTTATTCAACTACAAAAAAGAGATTTTCTTTATTTCCCTGTGCAGTAGGCCATAAAGCATTAAATATAGAAGAAGAACAGCAGAATAAAAGAAGAAGAATAGCAGAATAATAGAAGAATAATAGTAGACTGGTCCTAGGATGATTTCTATCTGAATAATGAGATAACAACAATAACAATGAAATATTATGAATGAAATGACAAAAATAATGAAAAGCAGGCAAGATTATGTGGGAATGAGATGAAGTACATATCATCTCCATTATGCTATTTGCTACTGCCCTTCCTGGAAGATAATTTCAGTGAATCTTCTGTAGATGAGATCACATAATTTCAACTCCTCCAGCTGTACTCATTTTGGACTTTTTTGGCTTCTCCACTGAGCCCCTCTGCCTCACCCCTCAACCCCCAATTTCTTTCCTGTATTGTTGTCTTCCATTAGAGTGTAAGCTCCTTTAGGGCAGGCATTGTCTTTATTTCTCATAATTGCATCCCTAGTCCTTAGCACTGTGCCTGGTACCTAGTAGGCACTTAATAAATGTTTATTGACTGACTGACTGATATCCCTTCAAGGCTCTTATTTACTTACAAAAAACAATCATTTTACCTACCTCCCTAGATAGTTCAACCACCATGAAACATAAAGAAACAACAATGGGATGCAAACTTACTGCCTGACCAAACATTTCTGTGCAGACTCCATCACATAGAAGACAGGAATGGGGATAACAATGATAATTGTGATTTTCATAGCAGAGGGTTCTGAACTGGGACTTAATCAGTGTGGGGAACTTCTAGGAGGGAAACTCCCTCTACTGATAGTCCTGTAGAGTTGTCTGAGTTACAGCATGTTGTTCTTATCCAGTCATTCAGTCATGTCTGACTCTGTGACCCTGTCTAGGATTTTCTTGGCAAAGATACTGGAGCGGTTTGCCACTTCCTTTCTTCAGGGACCTAATCTTAAGATTCAAGGCATACATATATATATATTTATTTTTGGTTATACCGAAATGCCCAAAGGGTGTTTGGAAGAAATAAATTTGGGAATCACTGACTGGATTTGAACTCATTTGAATTCGTGACTCCAGGCCTTGTGCTCTATCCATTCCACCACCTGTCTGCCTTCAGGGTATAGTATAGAGGTGAAATAGTTTGCACATGGGGCAGCTAGGTGGTGCAGTGGATAGAGCACCAGCCCTGAATTCAGGAGGACCTGAGTTCAAATCCAGTCTCAGACCAAACACTTGGCACTTACTAGCTGTGTGACCCTGGGCAAATCACTTAACCCTAATTGCCTTAAAAAAAAAAGTTTGCACGTGATCACATAGCCATTATGTGTCTAACCCAAGTCCTTCTAATGCCAAGGCTGGCACTGTTCTACTACACTACCACTCAAGAGTAATCATTCACCATTTATAGCACTTTAAGGTTTACACACTGCTTTCCTGACATCAGCTCTGTGAGGTAAGAAGCACAGGTATTATTATCCCCATTTTACAGATGTCTTGGGCTCACAGAGGTTAGATGAATTGCCCACAATCAAACAATTGGCAATTGCTGGAAACAAATACAGGTCTCTTGATTCTAAACCCAGTGCTCTTACTCTAACTATGCCAGGCTGCCACCACACCCTTAACTCCCCACTCACTTTAATGAATTATAGGAAGTTCAAGTCAGAAAGGTCTAGGATAGGGGTGGGGAACCTGTGGCCTTAAGGCCACATGTGTCCCTCTAGGTCCTTGGATGTGGCCTTTTGACAGAGTCAGAGTTTTACAGAACAAATCCTTTTATTAAGGGGATTTTTCTGTGAAGTTTGGATTCAGTCAAAGGGCCCCACTTGAGTACATAGAGGGCCATGTGGCCTCAGGTCTGCAGGTCCCCCACTTCTAGTCTAGGAAGGTAGACAGAGCAATGTCCTATTAGTTTCAAGACCAAAGGCTGGAAATCTTGAATTGTCACTGGTTTCTTATGTGGTCTCCCATTGTGACTCATTTTTTGCCCATCAGAAAATGGGAATAATAATAATTATAGTCAGTATTTATAAAGCATTTATAAATTTATAAGATTTGCAAAGCATTTTACAAATAAATCTTACTTGACCCTCACAACAACCATGGAAGGAAGGTGCTATTATTATCCTCATTTTATAGATGAGGAAATTGGGGCACCAGGTAGTTAAGTGACTTGCCCAGGATCACACAGTTAGTAAGTGTCTGAGGTCAAATTTGAACACAGGTCTCCCTGATTCCAAGTCCAACACTATCTACTCTGTCGTTTAGCAGTAGATAATACCTGCCCTTCCAGACAGCTCAGGATATGCATAATGAGTTCTTAAGAAAACATGAAACTAGGAGCAGCTAGGTGGCACAGTGGATAGAGCGCTGGCCCTGAAGTCACGAGGACCTGAGTTCAAATCCAGACTCACACCAAACACTTGACACTTATTAGCTGTGTGACCCTGGGCAAGTCACTTAACCCCAACTGCCAAAAAAAGGGAAAAAGAAAACAAAAACATGAAAGTATTAATAATCTAAAGACTCCTTTAGATTACCAGAATGTTCACTTTTTTTTAGGGGAGGGAGGGGGTCTGGATGCACTTAGCAGCTAAGCCCAGAGGGACAAGACCAGCAGAGGCTGAACCCAAGGCTTCCTCACTTTCATCCCAATTCTCAATCCATTGTAGGATGCTGCATCTCAGGATAGTCATTACGATTTCTAAATATTAGTTCCCTCCCCCATCTCCCCCAACCCTTTTTTTTTCTATCTTGTGGAAGGAAAATTGGGTGGCCATCTGTCAGCCGTGTCAACTGTATCCATCCCACAGGAACCAAATGACAAAATGTCTACAGAGTGCGCTGAGAACCCTAACGTGCTCTGTAAATGTCAGCTGTTGTTATTATTGAATGATAGATTGGCACATTTCACTTGCTGGCTTTAATAATATGGCTCATTGTTGAAAATCTCTTGGCTCACCAGAGGGAAAAGGAAACTGTGTGTGTTAGAAAAGCAACAAAACTGCCCACAGATGAAGAAAGCCTTCAGGGCTGGGAACTAAAGAGATGCTTTTGCCTTTAGACCTCCGCCTTTACTGGGCCTTCTAGACCAACCACCAAACAGCAACCAGCAATTGTGTCTCACGCCACCACCAGCAGATCAGCACTGGACAGAGATGGGAAGGGAAAGTCCTTGGCGATCTAACTCTGCAGAGACTCTCAAAAAACCTTCTAACTGAAGTCCAACTGCCATGGTGAATGGGTCCAGGAAAAAAGATTTTCAGGACAAGCTCCAAGATGCATCTCACGCTTAAAGACAGAGAAACTGGGCTGGAAATAAATTACCCACAGGGGGTCAGCCTGGACCCCTTCCTTGGACTCCTTCTCTCTCTTTCTTTCTTGTGGCTGCCCAATCATGAAGAAGGTTTTGCTGTTAGTAGGGGAGTCCTCCAACAAGGCTCTCAGGCTGTTGCAGTAGGCAATGATCTGCCCCCGGAGAGAGTACTAGAACATGCAATGATTCAGCCTGCGGAGAAAGTTGAAAACAAGAGGCCCGGTCAGCTACAAGGTCAGAGGTCTAGATGAGCTAGAAGGGACCTCAGAGGGCATCTAGTATAACGTCTGCATTTTACAGACGAAGACAATGAGGCCCAGGGAGATTAAGTACTTGCCGAAGGTCCCACAGATAGGAAGGTCAGAAGTGAGATCTGAACCAGACTCCTCTGAATGCCAGAGCCAAATCTCTTTCTACCGTACCAGTCTGATTTCTCAAGTGGCGTGAGCTGTAACCAAACTACAGTTCAAGGAAGTCTCTGCTTTTCCCTCAATGAACACCTTGATGCAGCTTCTACTGCAAAGATCACAAGCCGAGCCAGTTACCCTTCTAGGCCCACCTCTTGCCACAGGAAGTCCCCAAAGCAATGGACATAAGATTAAGGTCCACAAAGCACCAGCACTTAGGAGGCTAACGGGATACACAGCTATATCTATATATCTAGATCTAGATATACACATATCAAAGCATCAACATAGAGAAGGCTAAAAGGATACACACACATATACACACATACGTACACATGCATGTGTATATGTGTGTATACGTATGTGTGTGTGTGTATATATATATATATATATATATATGTATTAGCTGTTCTGTTATTTTTTAGTCATGGTAGACTCTTCCTGACCCCATTTGGTGTTTTCTTGGCAAAGATACTGAAGTGGTTTGCCATCTCCTTCTCTAGATCATTTTAGAGATGAGGAACTGAGGCAAACAGGGCAAAGTGACTTGCCCAAGGTCACATAGCTGGTAAGTGTTGGAGGCCAGATTTTAACTCAGGAAAATGAGACTCCCTGATTTCATGCCTGGCACGCTGTCTACTGCTCCACCTAGCTGCTTTGTACACACATGTATGTATATACACATACACACATATTCATGTATGTATAACATATACACACTAAACCATCAACATTTAGAAGGCTAAAGGGATATTATATATATAAAACATAATACATATTACATACATATGTGTGTATTGTGCACATTTATATACACACACATATACACATATACATATCTCAAAGCACCAACACTTGGAAGCCTAAAGGGATATACGTACACACACACACACACACACACGTATATATTTATACACATATAAAACTATCAGCACTTAGAAGGCTAATGGGATATATGTGTGCGTATGTATGCATGTATGTGTAGCATGTATATACATACACACATCAAAGCATCAACACCTAGAAATTACACAGTATTCACCTGTGGTTTACTTTAGTTGACTTAGTGTTGTTTTTATCAACATTATTAGAGCCATTTTGTATATTGCTTTTCTGGTTCAGCTTACTTTACTCTGCATCAGTTCATATCAGTTTACCCATGTTTCTCTGTAGTCCTCAATCATCTTTTTTTAATCGTGCAACATTATACTTCATTCAGATACCACAATTTGTTTATCTGCTCCACATGTTATTAATTTCTGAAGCCCAGTACTTGATGCTAAGTAGACAGATTTGTAACAAGCTGTATTTACGGTAATGAGCTCAATAAGTAAACTAACATCACCCACAAATTGGCTGATAATCTATGAAGCATTATATATTTTAGGAATCAGTGTCTTCAGGCTGAAAGCTGGTAGTTCTATGGATACAGAGCTAGGCCTAGAGTCAGGAAGACATGAGTTCAATTCTAGCCTCAGATACTTACTAGCTGTGTCATCCTGTCCACATCACATGACTTCTTTAGGCCTCAGTTTCCTCAACTGTAAAATGGGGATAATGATAGTACCTACCTCCCAGGGTTCTTATGAGGATCAAATGAGATAATATTTGTAATAAAAAAATCTTAGCACATAGTAGGCACTATATAAATGTTTATTCCTTCCATTCCCCAGATACAAACCCTGTTTTTGTTGTTCACAACCTAAAATGAATAAAAGCCCTCCTCCTTTCATTGCAGACTCACAGCCATCTTCTCTCGCTTGCCCATGATCTCCTTCTTTTGGAGGAAGGTATTCAGCATCATGTCACATAGTCCCAGCTTTTCCAATTGAATAGACACAAAAGCCTCTGGAGTCCTATCAAATGAACAGAAACCTCTGAGTTCTGCATGTAAAGTAACTGGATACCAGTCAAGAGGCAAATTAGAAACCACTCCAGGCACACAGTAACACCCAGAAACTGGTAATAGGCCAGTCCCCAAACAGGTGCCTTTCTCCCTGGCTCTGCACCTGCTTCGAGGAAGCTTATTAGGGATTATCATTCCTTCCTTAAAAAAACACCAGAAAGTCATCAGATCACAGGTTTAGACCTAGAAGGGCCCTTTGAGGCTACCTGGCCCAACCCCCTCATTTTACAGATGTAGAAACCGAGGCCCGGTGAGACACATGGGATCACAGATTTAGAGCTGAAGGTCCCGGAGAGGCCCTCCAGTCCAACCCTTTCGTTTATCTCTGAAGCTTAGGGGGTGCCTGAAATCGATTTGACTTCCCAAGACCAGATACATTAAGCCCAAAGCCCCAAACCCTGCTCAATTTGGGGCAATAGGTGGGGAGACGTGTGCAGATGTGTGCCAGGTCCACAGCCTCTTCTAATAGGACCTTAGGGTCAGAGATCTAGAGCCAAAAGGGACCTCAGAGGCCATCTACTCCAAACTCCTACTTTTACACATAAGCAAACTGAGGCCCATGAAGGTGAAGAGACTTGCCCAAGGTCACATAGGTAGTACATATCAGAAGTGGGATTTGAGTGGAAGTCCTTTGACTCCTCCCCCTCCCCACTTTTTCCTCCTCCTGTCCCTGCTCCTCCAGACAGCTTACACACCATGCACACCCTCTATTCTTCTGCCCCAGGGGGACTTCATTTCAGCCCTCAGGACATATAGCACAGGATTGTGGACTCTACCCTAGCACCCAGGGTGCCAGGGGAAGATGGTGTCATCCATGGGCATCACCAGCCAGATCGGTTTTCTTTTCTTTTCTAGAACACCAGCCTCCCTACTGTATGATGCTGGTTCCCAGAGAAAATGTTTTTCATTTAATTAAAAGGACTGATTAGGAACATTTTCCATAATTCTGATGGTAATACCTTTTGGTAGGCTGGGCTCCTGGGGAAGGGTGGATGAGTAAACCTGAGACTTTGGGGGCTGTGACCAATGATGCACTTTCTCTGTCATTCCCAGTGCTGCCACTTCCATGGGTTGAATCTGCCCCATCATGGCTCCTCAGATGAGAACTTCCCTCCTAGAATATTGTAAGGACTAGATTTCGTTAGGGGACTTTGGATCATGAGTCCTGAAAAAATCTGCTAGTTATATCTGACCTCAAACCCCTATTAACATAGCTCAGGCAGTGCATGGTCATGCTGCCGAAGATGAGATTAAGATACAAACACTAACCACCCAGCCCCTTAGCCACACAAAGAAGTTGAAGAAGTGAAGTAAAGGAGCTTGTCCCCTGGTAAAGTATGGCTGAACAAAGGTCCCTCTGAGAGACTCAAATGTGGTGAATCACTCAGTAAATACTATTGACTGACATTGTCTAAGAAACGGAAAATATCTCAGAATATGCATACAGTGCAAGCAAATGAAGGCAGGCTCTACCTGTCCACTATCATGTGCAAGATATAATAATAGTAAGAAGAAGAAGGAGGAGGAAGACGAGGAGGAGGAGGAGGAGAAGAAGTAGGAGAAGAGCAGACAGCCTTTATATAGTGCTTTATGGTCTTTCAAAGCCCTTTATAAATATCTCAGTTGATTCTCAAAACAACCCTGGGAGGTAAGTGCTATTATTTCCCTCATTTTTCAGATTAGGAAACTGAGGCTGAGGGAGATGAAGTGATTTACCCATGGTCACACAAGTAGTAAATGTCTAAAGTTGGATTTGAAATTGGAGAAAGTGCGATGTAGAAAACGACACCTTCAAAGTTATTAACTGACTTGTAGGCTGAAAAGTGCTGAATAGTCTTTACATTTTTCTAAATTATTGTCAGACAGAGAGGGACATTGTGAGTGAATACGGAGCTGGACTTGGAGCCAGGAAGAGAAGGATTAAAATCCTGCCTCTGAAGCTTACTAATTGTGTGACTATGGGCAAATCAGGTAACCTCCCTAAGCCAAATAACTCTAAGATTGTAAATTGCAGACAGGTTGCAATCCTCAATTATTTATGGATACATTGTCTAAAAGGGAAAGTTATCATTTTGAAAGAAAGAAGTGAAATAAGGAATTTAATGTTGGTTTAGCAAGTAGAAGGTCTGGGCTCTATTCCTAGACTGAACAAATATGAAACCACAGAATCAAAGATTTAGAGCTGGAAGGGGCAGTTGAGGTCATTTGAGTACAAGCCTCTCCTTTTGCAGAGGACAAAACCGAGGCCCAGAGAGATTAAATGACTTGTCTAGAGTCCCAAGGTTAATAAGTATCTGAGGTGATTCTTTAAAATTACAGGACTGGGAAAGTTTCTCTCTCTGTGTGTCTCTCTCTTTCTCTGTCTCTGTCTGTCTGTCTCTCTTAATGGTGGCATCCAAGGGTCTCATTTATCCACATCATGACACCATGCACTAAACTAAATGAGGGCAGGGCCACTTTCCCTTTCCCCTCGGGTCCTGTGATCCTGGGAAATAGCCTTGGCATTTTGGCCTATTTCACCTGTCCTTTTCCAGTTCTAGGTGCAGAAAATGGAGTCTTGGACCTGGGAGCTCAAGCCATGGCAATCTTGGAGCCCAGGACTCCAGGTCAGATGTTGCAACCAGCCCATCACAGAAGCCCAGAGAAAGGCACAAGCCCAGAAGGACTTTGGATTTGGGATTTGTTGGGATTAATGCTATATTATAACTAAACTAGGCTATGAGCCAAATCCCCTGCCACAAGGACTAAAGAGAGTAAAGAGAGGCTATGCTTCTAACTGGTACAGGGAATTTTTGTATGTTTGATCTTCCTATATCTTTGAAGTAAATATTCCTTTGTAAAAGATGATCTGATTGCTAAGTGTTTACATTGCACTGACGTGACTCCCTACAGATTAAGGGAACACAACTGGAAGGGCCTTGGGCCAATGCCACAGACTAGATACTACCCCTTTCAAACCCCTATAAGTATGGGAGAACCCTGAGGGAGGAATGAAATGTAACACACCTGGCCTTCCGGCAGTGGGGGTCCAGGGCAGTCACTGTTACTCGTGTACTGCTCACTTTGGTGAGCATACTCCTTTCCAAATCTTAAAGGCTCTATCTCTGTAAAGGGAAGTTCTCCCTCTCATTCTTCACAAGAAGGAAAAAAAAATTGGTCTGACAGTAGAGGATTGAGTAGGAGCCCATGCCAAGACAACTCAGCATGAAGGAAAAAAGGTAACTTAAGAGGGAGAATCCTGTTAGTGGTCCCAAACTTATTTCTTCCAAAGACCCTTTGGAGGGGCAGCTAGGTGGCACAGTGGATAGAGCTTCGGCCCTGGAGTCAGGAGGACCTGAGTTCAAATCTGGCCTCAGACACCTGACACTTACTAGCTGTGTGACCCTGGGCAAGTCACTTAACTCCATTGCCTAGTCCCCCCCCCCCCCCCAAAAAAAACATAACCCGAAGACCCTTTGGGCATTTCAATACGATAAAAAATATATATATGCCTTGAATCTTAAGATTAGGTCCCTGAAGAAAGTCAAGCAGCGGGCTTTAAGAACAAATTTCCATGTCTAATTCCTTGTTCAGCTTTCATGGTCATCTGTGCTAAAAACAATTCACCCCATCAGGGCTGGGGGTAAGGCGGGAAGTTCTTAGTATTTAAACAAAGAGTCTATATTCTTTTATCCAAATGAGATGGAAAGAAGCCAAAGACAAAGGGTGGTGTTGACTAAGGTAGGAAGGATGATTCCTTAGTTAATGAACTGAACAGAATCCCTGCCAGCCCAATATACTTCAGAGTCTATTTGCAAGAATGATTTAGGGGCATATGGAAGTGATTGTTGATAAATCAAAATAAATTAATTTTAAAAAAAAGAATGATTTAGGAAAATCATTTTTATTTTTTTATACCTAAGGTTTAATCTCTCTGCATATACTTCAGGCAAAGATCTCTTCTTTTCTACATTCCTTCCAAACACACTTAGGTCCTTTTATTCTTTCCCTTCTCTACAGCATTCCCTTCATTCCACCTTGGTACCAAGAACTCTTGTGTAAGCCATAGTAGGAAAGGTTGGCACTGACCAATCAGGTTACCACCCTGTGTCTAAGCCATAGTAGGAAAGGTTGGCACTGACCAATCAGGTTACCACCCTGTGAGGGACCTGACTTCCTTATCACAGTGATCTGACCTTCCTTTGCTTACTAGATAGTTCTTTTACAATTCATTCAAGTCTGCCTACATTCTTCTTCAGCAAGCCTGCATGAGTAAGAAGCAATAACAGCTTTTGCTTCTCAAGCTTTATGGGATAATAGAAAATTTCTCTTAGGCCTCGGCTAATTCTCACATTTTCTTGTATGTTGCTCACATTTGGCCAGTCTTCTAAAGTGATCTACAGAAAATGGATCAATAACCAGTACATTAAAAGAAAGAGAAAAAAAAAAGCAAGAGACAGACTAATAATATAGTAAGGAATGTGGTCATACATTCATACTTCCCAAAAGAGAAAAACCCTGATTGCAAATAGCCAGACTCCTCAGCTGCAATTAGTTGGCTTCAGCCAGTAACAGCGCAGCAGTTTTCTGGTGTGTCTAATCCCATGGGCTGACCTGTCTGTCCATGGGGTAGATCAACTGTGGGCTGTGGCAGAATACGGCCTGCTGGACAGTAACCATCAGAGCATTTTTCTGAGCAGTCTAGCAAGCCACAGTCACTTGCATGTCTTCCACTCCTGAACAGAACGAGAGCTGAAGGAAGAAAGTATAAGAAACACTGGGAAGTTGTTCTTCAATCACAAAGGAAAAGATAGGATGATGTGTGCCATCTGTTCACTGTGTGGGAAACATTCCCTGACCTTAAGAAACAGTGCTGACCTGGGCCTCGGAGCCCCAGGGCTGTATTTTGAGCAAATGGTCTTTCAGGCAGCCTTGAGCACTGACTGATTTCAGTTCATGGCAGTCATCCAGGTCTAATTTTTCCCAAAAGCTGCAAATTTGACTCAGCTTCCTTTGAGGATACTGGACAAATTCTGAAAGATTTATATCCAGAAATACACTGCCATGCAGAATAAAACAACCCAGATCATGTCAATGTTTAATCTCTTCTTCCCCCTCCCACTGTCCCCAACAAAAAGCCAAGAAATCTCTCCTGATGAGCCAGACAGAAATGAACACCAGTAAGTTTCTTGTATTTAATTCAATTTAACAAACATTTTTTAAGTACCTATTATATGCCAGGCTCTGTACAGGTACTGGGGATGCAGAGAATAAAAATGAAACTCAGAACCTGCTCTCAAAGAGCTTCCATTTTACTGTATGATTTAATAAACTCAGTTAAAAGTCTCCCAAAATAAGTGCATTTTTTAAAAAAGGCAGTTTAAGAAAAGGTGTTTGGGAACATACGGCTTATTTTTATTGCCCAATAGGAATTCCTGCCACAGTTATTAAAATATATGTAGGAGATATTATACCAAACTACAAGAAATATAAAAACAGTACATAATTATACTTACTGAACTGTTGGAAGCTGTGATTACAAGAGGGAATTAAAATTCTGGGACTAACATAACATGGTTCTGGTCATGGGCAATATGCATATGTCTGGTTAGTTTACTTTGACTTCCTTTGGGTGAAAAAAAAAGTTTACCTGAAAAATGCTTTCCTTTTTGTGAAAACTAAATTTTCCAATATGATTATCATCCACCTCAGAGATGGCCAATTGAAGTGTAGAGGGAGCATATCTACAAGGAAAAAAAACAAAATGTAAACTAATCCCATTGATCTGACATGTCATTAATGGGAAATATATATGTCAGTCTAAAGGACAGAATAAATGCCTTGACTTCTCTATCTGGAGAACAATATAATTATCTTTATTTATATATTTGTTGGATTTATTACTTATGCTTTTTCCCAAAAGTCTTTAGAGAACTCAAATATACCATTAGTCCAAATACATGTCATTCCCAAATATATGTTGTTGTTGTTGTTCAATCATTCAGTCCTGTCTGATTCTTTGTGACCCCATGGACCATAGCATGCCAATACCATTTATGAGGTTTCCTTGGCAAAGATACTGGATTGGTTTGCCATTTCCTCCTCAGGTAGATTAAGGCTAATAGAGGTAAAGTGACTTGCAAAGGTTCACACAGTAAGTGTCTGAGGCCGAATTTGAGCTCAGGTCTTCCTGACTCCAGGCCTAGTGCTCTAGACACTGAGCCACCTACCTGCCTCCAAGGCAAACAGAGGTTAAATGACTTGCCCAAGGTCACACAGCTAATAAGTGTCTGAGGCTAGATCTGAACTCACAAGCTCAGCACTCTATCCACTGAGCCATCTAGCTGCCTTCAATACATGCTGCCCCGAATATATGCTGCACCCCTAAAATGAGATCTCATCAGAAAAGCAATAATACTGAAAAACAATTCTAAAAAAATTTTAATTTATTTTTTAGAAGCACTGTTCTATTTCAGAAAAATATGCTATTCTTTTCCTAAAAGTAACTTTTTAAAATAATAGATATGGGGATCCTTGTTAGCCACTATCTTGTAATTTGTGTTTCCTGGCATGTCCACTGCAGCACTCGGTGCTTCCATTCCAGGAAAATTCTATCCAAATTAATTGTAGAATTAATAATAATAACAATAATAGCTAATATTTACTCATTTGCCTTAAGGTTAAAGCAAAGTCCTTCACATATACGATCTCATTTTATCCTCATGACAACCCTGTAAGGTAGGAGCTTGGTTTTATATCAAAAGCTAAGAGATGTACTTTGGGAAAGTCTTATTTTGCTAAGGCTTCTTCCCCTCTAATGTAGGGTTTCTTAATGTGGTATCCATGAACCCGTGGGATCCATGATCCCTTCCTTTCAGTTTTTGGCAAAGTTTCATTCATTTGCAAAACTTGGGAACTTTACTTCTTCATGGGAGAAGGAAGTACTTAATAAGTGTTAGTTGACTCACCGTTTTATCTACTTTTCCATTCTATGACATCGAGTTCTGTGGAGCCACCATGAAATGGAAGTCTGGAGTATGCTCAGAGTGTCTCTGAAAGTGTCTCCAAATGTGAAGAGGCTGAGAAACCTACTTCTGGGAGATTTGTGATGACACGGAATGGAGGTATTTTGAAGAGATTGTGGAACATGCATTGACATTCTATAATTGCTGCCTGTATGCTTACCATGGGATGAGGAGAAGCTTCTTTCAATTGGCTAAGTAGGGAGAACTACAAATATCTTCAAAAATACCTGAGTCAGCTTCATCTCATTGCCTAATTCTCTGCACTCAGGTAGTATGCCTCCTTTGCTGACAGAGCTGGTGAGAAACAATGTCATCAGGGCCCTCCCCAATGAGGCCAATGTGTGGCCCAGGGCCATGGTCACTGGCTTCTCAGTTCTGTTCTTTTCTACTCTAGGTGAAAGAGCTTCAAATCTTATGAGTCTAGAAATGTCAAAGGAGTGAGAATCTGGCCTTGCTGATGTCTGGGTTACAGAATCAGTTCAGCACCAGTGCCAAGAGGAGGAAGGAGTGCTGTCTGGGACCTAGACAAAGGGTGGCTGAGATGAAGACTCATCTGGCACTCCTGCTGCAGGTGGATGTGAACTTGGTGGGACCAATGTTATGTAACAACTGAGCCAAGTTAGAGCCTCAGTTTCTCAAGAGACTAAAGTGAGATAGGGTATATCCCTAAGGTACTGGGGAGGGGGGGAACTTTAATATTTTATATTTTGCTATAAATATCCTTTTCTAAAAGCTAATTGATGTTAAATGGTTAAACAAAACTGGGGTGTTAGTCACTGGCAATGGAGGGAAGACAGCTGGTGAGGTCTCCACATGATGACACTAGAAAAGAACCAATCCTCAAACCCCTGGGATACTTCTGAAACCACGAGGGCAGATGTAGCCTGCCTGTCTCTGAGAAAGTGGCCCAAAACATACTTGCTACATATCTACAAGTGGGCAGTAGAGCCCTAACCCTGGGACAAAGTTGAAATTCTTTGGAAATGTGAGCTCTATATTACTTGCTCCAATCAGATTTTATTGAAGCCATATTTTCAGGTAAAATATAGCCCATGGCCTGTATTCAGATCAATTCAGTGCTTTAAAATAATACCAACTTCAATGTAATGTGGCCAAATGACCAAATGTCATTTAAATCTACAGAGTCCCTTACTGTAATGCAGAACTTCCCAACAATTCATCACAATCTACCAGTTGATCTCTATTGACTTGCTATATGGGACAGTGGACAGAAGATAGAATTTGGAGTCCAAGGATCTGGGTTCAAATCCTCATTCTGACATTTGTTTATTCTCCAACACCTTGGGCAAATCATTCTATACACTGTGGACGAGGAGTACATGAATTCTGAGTTCTCTTCTGATTCTAAAACTATGATCCTTTGATCTTTGCCATTTATTTATCCATCAAGATCCTGCTTTCTTCTTCTTCTTCTTCTTCTTCTTCTTCTTCTTCTTCTTCTTTTCTTCTTCTTCTTCCTTCTCCTCCTCCTCCTCCTCCTCCTCCCCTCCTCCTCCTCATGGCAGTCACAAAACTTCAGGGGGAAGTAAATCGATAATTATGAGAAAACCAATTCTACCACTTTACAAAGCAAATGTTGCTATTCCCAGGTTATTGACAGGAAGAGTAAGGCATATGTTGGTGAAGTGATCTGGCCAAGGTAAACAGTGAATCCAGAACATATTCAAGAAAAGGGCCCAGCATTGTTTGAATCTCACTCCCATCAGATTTCGTTCAAAGAGGGAATAACATAATCAGTTAGGTATAGAAATCTAACTTACTCTATAGGAAGTAGGAGGGGAGAGGGAAAAGAAAAGGGAGGGAGTGAATAGAAGGGAGGGAAGAAGCAGAAAGGGTAAAGGGGAAGAAAAGGGAGGGGGCTAATACAAAGGAGGACAGACTGAGGGAGGTGGTGGTCAAAAGAGAACATCATGAAATGCAAAATGGATGATTTTTATTACATTAAATTGAAAAGGTTTTGCACAAACAAAGCCAATGCAACCAAGATTAAAAGGGAAGCAGAAGGCTGGAAAACAATTTTTACAGCCAATGTCTTGATAAAGGCCTCATTTCTAAAATATATAGAGAACTGAGTCAAATTTATAAGAATATAAGTCATTCCCCAATTGATAAATGGTCAGAGGATATTAACAGGCAGTTTTCAGAGGAAGAAATTAAAGCTATCTACAGTCATATGAAAAAATGATCTAAATCACTATTGATTAGAGAAATGCAAATCAAAACAACTCCAAGGTACCACCTCACACCCAACAGATTGGCCAACATGACAAAACAGGAAAATGTTGGAGAAGGTGTGGGAAAATTGGAATACTAATGCATTGTTGGTGGAGTTTGAACTGATCCAACCATTCTGTTTGCTTGTTTGTTTGTTTTTTTCAAGGCATTAGGGGTTAAGTGACTTGCCCAGGGTCACACAGTAGTATCATGTGTCTGAGGCCAGATTTAAACTCGGGTCCTCCTTACTCTAGGGTAGTGCTCTATCCACTGTGCCTCCTAGCTGCCCCTGATTCAACCATTCTGGAGAGAAATTTGGAACTATGCTGAAAGTGCTACAAAACTGTGCATACCCTTTGACCCTGCAATACCACTTCTAGGTCTATATCCCCAAGAGATCATAAAAATTGGAAAAGGACCCACATGTACAAAAAATGTATATAGCAGCTCTTTTTGTGGAGGCCAAGAATTGGAAATTAAGAGGATGCCCATCCATTGGGAAATGGCTGAACAAGTTATGGTATATGAATGTAATGGAATACTACTGTGCTGTAAGAAATGATGAGCAGGTGGACTTCAAAAAAACCTGGAAAGACTTATATGAACTGACGCTGAATGAAATGAGCAGAACTGTGAGAACATTTTACACAGCAACAGCAACACTGTATGATGACTAACTTTAATAGACTTAGCTCTTCTCAGCAATGCAAGGATCTAAGACAACTCCAAAAGACTCATGATGGAAAATGCTGTCCACACCCAGAGAAAGAACTATGCAGTCTGAATGCAGATCCAAGCATGGTATTTGCTCTCTTTTTTGTTGTTGTTGTTTTGTTTTGTTCCTTCTTTCTCATGGTTCCTCCCATTGGTTCTAATTAATTCTTTACAACATGACTAATGTGAAAATATGTTTAATAGGAATGTATATGTAGAGCCTACATCAGATTGCATGTCATCTTGGGGAGGAGGGAGGGAAGAGAGAGGGAGAAAATTTAAAACTCAAAATCTTATGGAAGTGAATGTTGAAAACTAAAAATAATTAATTAATTAAAAGGAAAAGAAGAAAGAAAGGGTTCAGGTTTTCTTGTCGATGGGTTGAATGCTTTCTGTTATATCATAATGACAAGTCAGATTTACTTTCATCCTCCCAAAATCTCTAGGCAAATTTCTGAGATTCTAAGCTGCAGAAAAAGTACCAACCTGCACTGGTAGAGGGAGTTCCCTACATTAATGAGAGTTCCTAGAGCCCACTACTCTTGGCATCTGGATCAGGTTTATTTTAGAGGAATCCTCAGACTGACCCAATTGTATGGTTGGATTCTGATCCATCCTGCTATATCTGGTATAGCTGAATTTGGCTTGTTTCTAGCTTTCATCTAAGATAATTTAAGTCAATTCATCTGCAAGCAACAAGCTCCTAATAAAACATTTTTACATAAAGCATATTACCTCATACTTTTTTGTTGTTTGCTTCTTTTTTGATATAAAGGTTCATCTTGCATTTTACACAGAAAACCCTGAAGTTTGCAGCAGGACTCTCAACAGCTATTCATAGGTTTGTAGAAGAGCACGTCCATCCTAACAGCTGGGTTTTAGCTACAAAGGATCCATGCAAACATGAGCAAGATTGGAGGGAGAGGGTGATAGGGCACAATGGGAGGAATGTATTTCAGTCCTTTCTCAAAGAAACTACAGAGCATTCTAAGTCACTGAAAAGCTGTGCAGATGGGAGTCTAAACAAGCCCTGCTTCAAAGGAAGGACCTTTCTAAATAAGTTAAGGTTTTTTTTTTCCTTTTGGGTGGGATTTGCCTGCAAGCCCCATTTAGCAAGCACAGGTAGGTGACACAGTGTATGGATTACAGAAACTGGAGTCAGAAAGACATCTTCCTTAGTTCAAATCTGGCCTCAGACATTTGCTAACTGTGTGATCTGGAGCAAGTCACTTAACCTTGTTTGCCTCAATTTCCTCATCTGTAAAATGAACTAGAAAAGGAAATGGCAAACCACTCCAGCATCTTAGCAAAGAAACCCAAAAATGGGGTCATGAAGAGTCGGGCATGACTGAAACAACTGAACAACAACAACAATCCATTTGGCAGGAAATAGGGCTATTTTTTCTTCATCCCGAAAGCATCAATCCCCAATCTCACATACATAAACTCACAACATCAACAGGGGATTTCTCACTGGCGTGAGGAGAGTTGGAAATTTGTGAAGACAACGTCTGTATCTTGATCCCTTTCTCTCTCCAGCTCTGGTTTTTCTATGCAGTCTGTGTCCTCTTATGTCTGGTCTTGACTACCTCTGCTATGGTCTCTTCTACTTAACTACCATAACTTTAGATGAGCTCTCATCCCAGCGTACCTCCTCCTTCTGGCTCCCAGCACTTTTCTTCTCCTCCAATCAGTCCCTGGGCCCCATGGCATCGGTGGAAAGCAAGGCCTTACCCTCTTGCACTCAATGCCTGCTGTCAAGTGATCCCAAACTGGATTAAAATGTATTTGGGGAAATACTTAACAAAATAAATAAAAATACAATAAAACATAGATCATGCTAATATGTGGTTCTCCAAGTCAATATGTGCCTACAGGGATCCTTATGTATGGTTTAATAGCCCCATTTCTATTTGAGTTCGACACCACTGATATAGGTCACATAGGCAGGGGCTCAAATGCCCAGGATTGTTCATTGGTAACTCTCACCCAGTGGCTTGGCACCTTGGGCATTACAAATAAAAGAATAACATTTGATGGGTTCAGGTAGGGGTTACTGCCTGCACGAGCATTTATTCAACACAGTTTCACTGCCTGGGTTCAGACTATGGTCACTAAGCTGGAAATGATGGAGACAAAGACAGAGAGAGAGACTGACTCTTCATTCAACCTATATTGCCATATAAAGTCTTGCACAAAAGTCTACTACAGAAAGCAGTTTCTCCCTGATACAAATACCCATCTTTTTAATAATAGCACTCTTCTAGTGATGTGGTTACCATAGTCTCCGAAGAATTAAAGTTGAGAGTCACTCAAAGGGCAATGGAGAGGTGTATTAGTAGGTATGAGTAAGCCTCAACATATTATAGAATTGCACAAGAAAAATGGCACAAAGTATTTCATCAGAGAGATTTATGACTGGGAAAGAAGGTGGGCTAGTCATGTAGCAAGAACCAGGGATAAGCAATGAATAACCTGTGTGCTCCATTGGGATCCATGAAATGCTAAGAGATCTAAAAGAAGGTCCCTAGCATGTGGAGTGGACCACTTGTAGTGTGTGATTCATGAGAAGATATGGACAACATTTGCACAGGATGGGAGGACACAGACACTTGAGATCTGCATTACTGAAGGGAGATCATAGGTCACCCCTCAATGTCTCAAAGCAAAGATGGAGACTATCAGTTTCTAGATATTTATAGATAAAGATATTTATAGGTAATTGCTACGCACAGGTAGCATCCTTCCCAAAAACCCAATAGATAAAAGATCCAAATTTATGGAACAGCTCACTTTGAGGTCATTTATATCGCAAAGTATTCCATATTTTGCAAAAAGATGAAGTGCAAGGTTCTTTTAATAGCCAGTGCCTCCGTGACATTTCAAACGATATTTGAAAATTGAGGGCACCTAACTTCAAGAAAGCATCTATTGCATAAAGTATAAGAAATCTAAATTGCTTCCTCCTGAAATTCTTACCCTTTCTAGAGGCGGCACCTCTAGGAAAGATTAGATTTGTTTCTGGATAGCTGCCAACAATTAATTAGTATATTTTGTTGGGGGAGGGGAAGGATAATCATTGCCCTGCTTTTGCATTCCATTCCATGAAGACTTTGAATTTTCCTTACAGGCTGGTCTTCTCTCTTGTTCTGTTTCATGCTCTCTTCTTGGGTAGCACAGATAGCTCTCTTCTTGTTCACCTCCTTTTAAAAGTCAAAATCAGCTGTGCTTCCTGCACTTGATACTTGATTCTATGCATTGTTCATTTGTTCCTTGATCACTGTTAACTTTATCTAATGGCATAATTGGAAAGTGAGAGCCCCTATGCCAAAAGTTGCTGAGCCTGCCCCTCTAACTCCCACTACATCTGCTCCATCTTTGCCTTCTTTCTGGGTCAGCTTCTTCTTTTCGGAAACTTTTTTTTTTGGCCAACCCCGTCGTTTGGACGGCCTTCACACTTTTGGCCAGGCCTCACCTACTTTCTTTTGAACTACGACTGCCAAGACCAAGCTTTAGGAGCCTCGGGTAGAATTCCATGTATTGAGGAGCACAGAACAAAGGCCCTCGAAAGCATTGCCTTGCTGATGTTGGTGTCCAGGTCCAGTTTAGGCCTTACAGCTCATCACCCTAGAAGTCAGCTTAGCCAGGGCCTGAGGCTCCCAGCCACTCGTCCTTAGCTCACCCCAAGCCTTTTGCCACCTTCTTCCCAACATTCTGTTAACTACTTTGATCACCACACCTCTTTCTTCATCCCATCCTACCTCTTTGCCTTAACTCTTTTATTTTATAGTTACTATGATGGTAATTAATGGAGAACAAGACAGTTGTCAAATTTTTAAAGGGCAGTCATGTAGAAGAGGAATTGCCTCTGTTCTGTAGGAACCCAAGGGCAAAGCCAAGACTGACGGTTAGACTGTCAGGAAACACTTCTTCCCAAAGAGGGCTTTTCAAAAGTGGAATGAGCGGCCTCGGGAGGCAGCGAGCTGCCCTTCATTGGTTGGATGACTGCTTATGAAGTACATTATAGTGAGCATTTCTTTCACCTGTTGCTCAGAGTTGATGGTCACTGAAGTGCATTCCAGCTCTCAAATTCTGTGAGTCAGTGTGTTTTATTTTCATTTAAAATTTGCTTTGATTTTTTTTAATCAGCTATCTCTCATTCATTTCTTTTCTGCTAAATATTAAAATATCAACGTCTAAATAGGTAATAATAATAATAATAATAATAATAATGGCTAGTATTTCTATAGTGCCTACTACATGTCAGGTACTTTGCTAAGTGCTTTACAAATATTATCTCATTTGTACCTCACAACAATCCTGGGAGATAAGTGCTATTATTCTCCCCATTTTAGAGTTGAGGAAATGTAGGCAGACAGAGATTAAGTGACTTGTCCAAGGTTAGTAAGTACCTGGCATTTGATCTGAATTCAGGTTGTCCTGACTGCAGACCCCAATACTCTAAAGATTAAGTTTAACAACACGATTCAATTTGGGTTATAAATAATGTTAGAATTTTTTTTCCACTCATGAGATCATTCACCGGGGAGCAGAATATGAGTTATGGTCACATCTCCCCTGCTCTTGTTTCACTTCAAATAACAGAAACAATATACACACTGACTTACCTGTCTACTCGACTATTATCTTCCAGCAGAGCTGTAATGAACACTGGAGGTGGCTGGTCTGCCTTCTCCTTATGTGATGCGAATTCAAAGTAGACTGGCCTCAAGAACAGATGGAATTCATCAAAACCCCTCTCTTGGGTAAATATCTTGTACAGCCTGAAAGTAAAAAAAAAATACCCACTCCATCCTCTAGTATTTTATTTCTGAATGTCTGTTTGTTCTAGACCTAAGAGACATAAAAACAAAATAAATCAATAAAATGTTATTTCTTCAAAAGGAAATAAAAAGAGGTGCTGAAAAAAATCCCAAGGGCTGAAAATGTATGACAATAAAAATCAAAAGCATGAATAGCACACTAAAGAATTATAAAGTGAGTGAGATTCAAAGATCTCAGCTCCCTTATATTACATGCGATGGGGATTTCAGTGGTGTAGGGCACGTCTTCCTTTCTCCCCCAAAGCACATTGGTACCTTCTTGGTCAGTTACAGCCTTAGACAGTCGCCTGGGGCCCTGAGAGGATGCATGGCTTCCCCAGGTTCACATGTCAATATATGGGCCAGAGACAGGTCTTAGACGAAGGTCCTCCTGACTCTGAGGCCATCTCTCTATCCATGAGGTCATGCTGCCTCTCCCTACATCATGTAACAGTTGTAACAAGAGAGCGGCTAGAAAAGACGCCTCGAGGCATTTTGAAATGTTTGTGTTAGGGAACTACAAGACAAGTTTCTATCAATTGTTACTATTTAAATCACACATGCATTAGATTGTGTCCAGCAGTGAGAGTGGGAATGATATATTTCAGGAACCTGGACCATGCCTGTATTAGTAAACCACTTACAGAGCATCAGAGATGGGAAACCCTGAAATGATTACTGTGTGTTACCTTTATCACAATTTTCTTCTACTTCTGGCTTTAGCCCTGACTCGTCCTTCCCAGAAGTAGTCAGGAGAACCAGAAGGTAGCTAAAGGGAAGAACAAGCATCAAGAAGGAAGGGGTGGGGACAGCTGGGTGGCACAGTGGGCAGAGCACCGGCCCTGGAGTCAGGAGGACCTGAGTTCAAATGTGGCCTCAGATGCATAACACTCACTAGCTGTGTGACCCTGGGCAAGTCACTTCACTAGCCTAGTCTCCCCCCCCCAAAAAAAAGAAGGAAGCGGTGGCTAATAGTGTCAAGCGCTTCAGAGAAGGCAAAGGGGCTAAGAACTCAGTAATGTTCAGGGAATATGACAATTAATAGGTTATTGGTGACTTTGGTGACAGAGTAGTTTCAGTTGATGGCAGGGTTGGAAATCAGATTACATGGGGCTGAAGAATAAGTGGGCAGTCAGGTTGATCTCACCATACCAATAATAGGTACTTAATAAATTTATTAATTAATCGTCCCACATGGAAACCATCTTTCCTTGCTCTAATCTCAGATGGCACTCTGTGTTTGTCTTACGCACTTAGTGTAGTCTGTTCTTCATTATAGTAATTATGTAATTTTGCATAGTTGTACATAAGATACATATATCTGCCAGGTTGTAAGGATCATCAGTGCAGATACCATGTATTGGTTATTTTTATATCTTCCCCAGTGCCTATCATGGTGCTTTGCATGTAATGGATGATTATTAAAGGGCTGATGGATGAGTGAATGAAATGTACAAAATCTACTTACTGAACAAGGATATCTAATTTTCCTAATTTTTAAAAAAAGATCTTTTTCAATGATCTAAATTGCTAATAATAAAGAAAATTAAAACAAATCTGAGGTTTTACTTTATGGTCAAAGTAAAGCTTTTGACCCAGCAATCCTCCTATAAAGCATATACCCCATCTCTTCCTGTACTTCATTCCTCCTCAAATTCTTTCTTGTTCCTACTGTCAGGCTTCCCATCCCCTCAGTACTCTCCCAGACCACCACCCCTACTTTGGCTTTACTTTTCTCCCTTCCTCATCTTGACCTTATGGTTCATAGGATCATAGCTCTAGAGCTGAAAGAGAACTCAGAGGTCATCTAGTCCAAACTCTTCACTTTACAGATAAGAAAATTGAGACAAGATTCAAACCACTCTGACTCTACCATTGGAGTGCTCTTTCTAACCCATCAGAGCAATTCAGTTACATACCGTTTTCTACATTTGAAATCTTTTGCCGCCTTGTCCTAACATCCACCCCTCATTACTTGCTAAACCCAACCCTGGTTTGCCCCTATCATCAACCTCCATTCCTACTTGTGTGATACCCAAAGATGCTAGAGGAAGTCCCTGTGCTGAGTGGGTTCATTACAAATGTATGTTCTCTAATCTCAGTTGGTCCCTCAATGCAGCAAAGGAATCCCTTTATTTTTCCCTGACTTCCTATTGTTCTTTTCACAGAGTGTTTCAAATCTTTTCTCTTCTCCTCAAGCCTCTCATACTACCATTTTCCCTTCTCTCTTTCAGTAGAGAACTTCTCCTCACACTCTACTGGAAATAGAGTATCTTCTCTCCTATTTTAAATTGCAAAACCCCTTGACATAATTCTCTATCCTCTTTTCATTTGCTTCAGTCTCTAATGAAGAGGTAGCCTTTTCTCATTGCCAAGGTACTTTTGCCCTTGATTCCTTTCCTTCCTATCTCCTTGGGCCTCTTGTTCCGCACCATAAACCAGAAAAAAGTCTTAAACACACAAAATGTTCATAGCTGAACTCCTTGTAGCAAAAAAAAAAAATTGGGAGCATCTATCATCTCCACTGTCTCACTAATTTCCAGTTTTTCCCTGTCTACTGACTGCTTCCCTATTGCCGACAAACATGTCTTTTCCATCATCAGAAACCCTTTACCTGATCCCTCCATCACCACCAACCATTGTTCTGTATCTCTCCTTCCTTTCCTAGCTCAATTCCTTGAAAAGGTCTTCTACAATTGGTGCTTCCACTTCCTTTCTTCTCACTTTTCTTCTCAATTCTGTGCAGTCAGGCATCTGACCTCTTCATTAAACCAAAATAGCTCTCTCCAAAGTTACCAATGATCCAGCAACACTGACCTCTTTGCTGTTCTTGTCACAACACACTCCACCTCCCAAGTCTGCATTTTCATTGGCTGTCCCCCATGCCTAAAACTCTCTCCCTTCTCAGTTCAGCCTCTTGGCCTCCCTGACTTTTTTCAAGTCTCAGCTCAAATTCTACTGTCAAATTCTACTAAGAATCTTTTCCCAGACCCCTCTTAATGTTTGTTCCTTCTTTTTATGATCATCTCCAATTTATCATATATATGAATATGTATACACATGTGATAAATATATGTGAACACATACATTTATGCATACAATCTGTGATACATATGTCTATATAAATTTATTATTTGTATGTTTTAGATATATAAATATATAATAGGTAAAACTACAGATATATGCATATCTGTACCTATATATGTACAAATAAGATATGCCTATCTTGTTTGTATACAGTATAATATACATGTATGTACAAACTATTGTACAAGATATCTATAACATATATAACAAGATATATACATATATCTCCCTCGTATATATGCATATTGTTTGCATGTTATATATAAAACACACATATAACTATATATAGCTATACATATATAGCTACATACACATACATATATATTCTATATATACATGTACATACATACATACAGATATATATTTATATATAGTCTGTACATAGTGTTTACATGTTGTCTGCCCCATTAAACTGTGAACTCCTCGAGAGCAGGGACTGGTTTTTGTTTTGTTTTGTTCTTTTCTTTTCTTTATATCCCCAGAACTTAGCAGAGTGCCTGGTACATAGTAGGCTCTTAGTAAAATACTTACTGACTTGAAAAGAACAGGTATCCATTGATTGAGGAATGGCTGAATGTAATAGCTTTCTCTCATTGTACCATAAGAAATGATGAATATGAAAAATTTGAAGAAACATGGTAAGATGCAAACAGACGCAAAGAGAAGAAAGACTAGCCAAGACAATAATATGCACATTAGTAACACTAAAAGACAGCCAAACTCAGATTAATTGCAATGACTAATCTTGGACCTGAAGGACAGATGATGAAACACTTTTCTCCTCTATAAAGGGAGACTGGAGGCTTCAAATGAGGAATATTGCACATACTACCAGATGAGTTCCTGTTGTTTATTTGGATTTACTTAACTATTTTTCTTTGTTACACAAGAGGGTTGAGTGGAGGAGCCAAAGTTTTGAGAAATGATTGTAGCATTAACAAAACTTTAAAAATAAAATAAAATAATTCTTTCTTCTGGCTGCCTCTCACATGCCCTACTGTAAAGCTTGCCCTATTTCTGGAGGAAAGAGTGGCCCACTATACCCACCAGGCTAAGTGTGCACTTTCTACACTCATTTCTATCAATCGGTAGTGGAGAGTTGAGAGTTCCAAAAGTCTGGAGAAGGTCTCCAGAAGAAAAGCCTGAGAATCTTTGCTTTGTTTCTTTCCTTCCCCTGCTGCAGATTTTAGAACTAGCATGCCTATCTCAACCACAAGAAAGGGATCTCCCATCACTGCATCAGAAAATAACTGCAAAGGGAAAGTGCTTTTAAAAATGTAAGTAATAAAAAAGGAACATTTTTTAAAAAATCTTTCAAATAGTAATGGTGCTACAAAAATAATAACTTACATTTTTCTAACACTTTATTAGTTAAAAAGCATTTTAACCTTCATTAAATTTCACTAGGTCCTCACAGCAACGAAGTGGGTATTATTGCCCCATTTTACAGATGAGGGAACAGGCTCAGAGAGGATAAATGACTTGCTCATGGTTACACATCTTTGGAGGCTTGACTCAAGGTCTCCTGACTCCTAGTTCAGGGTTTTTTCAACTATACTATTAAAGGTTTTGAGAAACAAAAATAGAGAAAAGAATATAGGACCTACAAAAATAAATTTGGTAGGAATATGTTTCTGATATCTTCAAAAGTTACAAGGAAATTTAGCCTTTTAGTAACTGGAAATGCAACCCTCCTCTACTCAGAGCCATAACTAGGGCAGGACAAAGTGGGGGTTTGCCCCAAGGCATCAAAATTTAGAGGACACAGATAACTCTTGGAAACCTTTAGCAGCATAAATACAGGTGAGCTACTAATTAACTAAAATACTGAGTTACAGCAGGCAGGTACCAGATGGTATGCTTCTTTTTCCTGGTGGCTGAACCCCAGGAAGGCTCCTTAGCTCCTCCCCTGCTGGGGACATTCCCAGAAACACTCGAGGTGCCCTTGGGGGTCCCAGGACCTCTCACCACCTAATTTGTCTTTAAAAATTGATTCAAGAGTACATTTTGTGAAACTTGCCATGTCACTGCTAATTGTGCCTTTGCTTCTGCTCAAGGCTCATCCAGGGCAAAGTGGTGAAACAGGACAAGTTTCCATTTGGTGTCCCAGTTCTCAGTATCTTCTCCATCCTTCTGATAATTTATTGTAGGACACCCACCACCAGTGTGCTATACTACATACTTGCCCCATCTAAGGACTATAACTTCCTTATTTTTCCCAGAAGAACACTTCAGTGTATTTAGCACAGTGTTTGCCACATAACAAGCACTTAATTAATGATTGATTGATTGACTGACCCACCCGTATCTCAGCTGTCCATTCTAGGTGGGAGTATCTTTTAAGTCTTCCAAAATGGACATTAACTAATCAGTGTTCATGGGATAAGTTCTCAGGACATTTTGACAGAAATAGAAATAATCATTCTCTTCCTCCTTTCTCTAACTCTCTTCCCTTGCTGTCTAACCCAGGGGAATAATTCTAATGACTAAAAAATTCAGGTCATTTGGGAGAAGAAAATAGTATTGTGACTGACCAGTGGAAGAAATAATTTTGGGGCAGGCAGAGCCCCATAATCACATAGAGTTTCAATTTCCAGATTCATTATCTACAAGTTAATCACAATATAGTCAAATTAGGCGCTAAAAATTGATTTCAAGCACCCTACTAAAACTAGGCAAATTTCCAAGTCATACCTCACTGCCTTTAACTGAGAAAAATAAAATAACAAAAAATAGTAAACATTAGGAACCCTCTGAGTAGAAAACCACTTTAAGTATTATTTTTAATTTCAGTCATCAAAAAACTAGTCATAAGCCAGAAAATAAACTTCTATGCACATATCTAAATATTAACATTTTTACTGAAATCTTGACTCCAATCTTCTTTGATCATTGGGAAAAATGATCACATTTAAGGAGAGCACAGCCTAAGATTGTATCGGTTCTGTTTTGGATTGACAAAAGGAAATAATTTCAAAAGAGCAAGAGCTCTGAAAGAGTGAGGATTTCATTACTAAGACAATCTGCCATACCCTGGAGTCCACTTCTGAGGTCAACCTACATCCTTCTGAAGCTGGGCATTGTAGAGAGACTCAGGCTTTCTCACAGACTGCCATGTGTCCAGAGCCAGCTGGAGAACCTTTTTCTCCAGAATGGTGATGTTGTGAGCTGTGTGGGGCCTGTAGATGTGGCAAAACTCCCTGAAGAGGTACTGTAGAGCTGTAGGGATGAGGGAGGCCAGGCAGAGGGAAGGATGGAACTCCAACAGGAAAATGTTTTTTAAAGCTGGTCTTGAAAAATAAGGCAGATTAATGACAAGCCTACACAATTAAGCAACGTACTGACCACAGAATTCTTTTCATTTCTTGAAAAATACCCTGGATTTGCCACTTGAAACCCCACTTTGTTAACAGGATCCCAGTAAATAATGTGCTTTTCATTTTGAAGTGAATCCTAAGAAGCAGAAAGAATGTGCTATAAAAACATCCATAAGGTATGGCCCAAGTCGTCAGCTAAACAGGCACAATGTTTTGGCATGAGGAGGCCTTTGGTAAATTTCTGTTGACTGATGGAGATATAGTACAAGCTGTGGAATTAACTGCAATCCCACTAAAACCAGAATCATTTGCATAGAGACAGAGTGGTTGAGTATAAAAGCAAGAGCATTGTTGGCAATAGTAAATACAATTAGGGAAATCATTTTCCAGGTTAGCAGTTATTTAGATTCATCTAAGCTATTATGGTATTTTTCAAAGACAAAATTATTCTGTCAAACCCTTAGATAATTGCTGAAACTTTAGAGGCATCTGTTTTAGAGGCAGCTAGGTGACCTGGAATCAGAAGACATGAGTTCAAAAACTGTGTGTACCTGTGCAATTCATATAAAAACCTTTGTATGCCTCAATTTCCTCATCTGTACAAATGAAGATAATAGCAATACCTATCTCCAGGTTGTTATTAGGATCAAATGGTATAATATTTATAAAGTGCCTTGAAAATCTTAAAGTATTATATAAATACTATTATTATTATCATGATTATTATTATTATTTTACTTTATGGAGAAACAAATCAATCAACAAACATTTATTAAATGGCTAGTATATATCAGGCACTGTGCTAGGCAATGAAGATATAAAGACAAAAATGAAACATCTGAGTGTTGCTTATTTTTGTGAGGCAGGGTGGCATAATGTTTAAGCATTGAACTTGGAAATCAGGAAGACCTGGGTTCAAATCCTGTCTCAGATACACTTACTAGCTGTGTGACCCAGGGCAAATCACTTAATCTCTCTGTCTGCCTCAGTTTCCTCATCTGTAAAATGAGGAAAATAATAGCACATACTGCCCGAAGTTGTTTGAGGATAAAATGAGATGATATTTGTAAAATGCTTTGCAAACCTTAAAGAGGTTTACAAAGGTCTATAAAGAGCTATAGAAATGCCAGCTATTACTAGCTGGTAAAGCTACTAAGCATACTAAAGCATACTAAGTCCATCACTCTTTCCACTTAGCCATGCTGTCTTTCAGGAAGTATGTCACTTCCCAACTTTGTAACCCCAGTTACTAACACTATGCCTTGCATGTAATAGATACTTAATAAATGTTTACTGAATTGAATTGAATTGACTCAATGAAGAATGTGACCAGGATCCTCCCTATCTCTACACAGAGTTCAAGGACATACACCCTTTCCCCCCTTAAGTCATTAATCATGAGGCTATTGTGAATTAAGCCTATCCTAACCTGTAGGTGATGAAGGTAAGTCTGTACAACCAAGGACCACTCAAAGGGTGCCGCCTGCCCCCAAATTGTCTCTTCAGTAAATAACTGCAGTTTTGGGCTCACTCATATTCTTTAAAACTAGATTTTTAATCGCAGCTGAGTGCCTTAGACCCAAAAAGAGTATCTCACCAACCAAATGGCATTTGCTCCTGGGATGCTTCTTTCCAGGCTTAAAGTCCATGGCAAGATCCTTTCTGATAGTTATTTCCTAAAAAACAGATCATGACAAACTTCTTTCAAAGCCAGCACCTCAAGCTGGTTGCAGTGAAGAAATTATTTTATCAGAGATGTCTATGGCATGAAAAACACAGGGGACTGTTCATCTTGGACACCCATACGTGTCCTACCCTCTGGCCTGAGAGGGACTAGAAAAGTAGATGACTTAATATCTTGCAGACTGACCTGGGTGGGTAGAAGTGTGTCTACAACCTCCCTATTGTGTTCTTTCTCCTTGTCCCGGGGAGGGGAATGAATGGGAGAGATCAAGCTAAAGAAGGCAAGATAGAGGATAACTTAGTTACTTCATTCCTTCAATGATTGCAGGGAATGCAATTATGTGTCAAAATGGCAAAACAACGGGAAACTGGTTTCCTGCCACGGTGAGCTCAAGGAACTCATGCTGTCTGAAATTTGCTGTGGGCAAAAAACCTGGGTTTTAAAAGACTATTTTCATCATGTCCAGCTCTTGATGCAGTGATACTGTCTGACCGTGGAGAGGCCCATGATTTAACCTCCTAGGTCAGTAGAAGTTGGTAGAGGGGTGGGTATGGGGACCTGCCCACAGGCCAGGCAGTGAGGTCCATGCTAAGAAAAGCCCTAAATTTCTGGGAAATTACTTGAATTAGACAAAGTTTTGATTTCTTCTTTGCTCATAATCCTTGGAAGATCCTGTTGGCTTTAAACTCTGACCTACCTATTGTTTCGGCCCCTTCCAGTCTCTCTGGAATCGAATGAATGGATGAATGAATGAATGAATGAATGAACGAAAAACCTCTTATTAAGTAATTCCTATGTGCCAAGAATTACGCTAAGCACTGAAGACACAAATACCAAAGCAAACACAGCTTTTGGATCATGTCTTTTTCTCTTCCCCTGTATCCAGCCTCATTTTATTCACCTTTTCCTGAATTGCAGATTTACATAGGTCCTGCTTCATGCCACAGCATGGCAGACAGAACCTCGGGGACAATTCAATTCAACCAGCACTTATTAAGTTTTCTGTGAGCAAAGACAAAAACAAAACAAGAAGTTCTGTCCTCAAAAAGCCTCCACTTTACAGGTGAGAAGCAATGTATATACAGTTAAGTAAATAAAACTATATAAAACTGTAACTCTCTGGTTGGAGAATTTATACAAAAATCACAAAGTTTTAGAATAGGAATTGACCTTAATGATTACTTAATCCAACATCTTCCTTTTACTGATAAGGAAACTAAAGGCTAGAAAGGTTGTCATTACCCAAAGTGACACAGAATTTATAGCAGAAATGGGACTCTAGTCAGGTCTTCTGATTCCTAGTTCAGTGCTCTGTATAAGACAGTGTCTCCACAATTTAGGACAAGTTGGAAAGTATTTAGGTCTGTGGCTAAGTTTTCCAGAAAAATTGATTAAACAAATTCATTTCCCTCCCTTGCCCCATCTTCAATCATGAACTCACCAGCTATTGTTAATAGAGATAAGTTGTTTGCAAATTATGTTCGGAGGAAGTCCAAATTCATTGATACTACCTTTCTCACCATCTCACCATATTCTTTGGACATATTCTCGTTGTGACTCTATCTAGAAATGCAAACATAATTTTAAAATTAGAAGGAAAAAAAAACCTATCCCACAAACATTGCACACATAATTTGGCATGGGGAAGACAGCACAATCTTTCCCTCAGTCTTGCAGTTGGCAAATTTTACACAGATAGAGCTCTGAGGATCTGCTTCCACTGGGACTGTGCTGATTCTCAGCCAAGAAAAAACAAAAGATACAAATTGAAATCAATTTCAAAGCAAAGGAAGAAAATTCCTTCTTTCAGATATATGACTAGATGGAAAATAGTTTCCTATCAAGCTTGTAAGATAGAAGCTATGCTAACCACAATTCTATAATCTGCCACTGGCTTAGTAATGTTCTCATGTTCACTTCATGTAGCCATAGGTTGTGCCCTGATTAATCTAGAAAGCCATGAAAATTTAAAACATGATGTCCCCAAAGTCACAGAAATGACTGATGATGATGATGATAACAGCTCACATTTATGTAGTGATTTAAGATTTGTAAAGTGCTACTCATATGGAATCTCAGAATCAGTCCACTCCCCTGACTGAATAAAAGAGTTCCTGTTACAATATTCTCAAAAAGTAATCCTTATAGCTTGGCTTGAAGACCACTAAAAATGATCTCTTTGAGATCTCTGCTGTGCAAATACAATCATCTTCTCAGCCCTCTCTCCTCCTAACTTCTTATGTGCAATTGATATTCCTAATTTCTCTAGACTCTCTTGGTTCCCCTGACACTGAATTTCTTACTACAGCATTATTTGTCGTGAGGCTCTAAAGCAATTCCATCATTATTTTTCATTCACAGTGAGCTCATTTTTACACAGTCTCTTTATTCTTACAACAACCCTGAGATGTAGGTGCTATTACCCTCCTACAGTTAAATGACTTGTCCAGAGTTACACAGCTAGTATCCAGGGCAAGATTTGAACCTTGGTCTATCCTGACTGCAAGTCTAACACTCTGTCTACTGAACTTCTCATATACAGTCATAGCATAATTTTACAATCCACATTTTGAAGCAGTTTATCTTTATTCTTTCCAATATTACTAATACCACAAGCTCTGTGGTCTGAATGAAAATGTGAAAGGACTTACTCTCTGTTTTAAGCCTGTGCTTTGTGGGTCAATAAATGTACTGAAGTTACCCACATTTGAATGAATGAATAGAGATTTATCAAGCACTTATTACGTGCAAAGGTCTGCTGGGGATACAACTAGAAAAGACAGCACCTGCTCCCATTCTAATGGAGAGGGATGACATATGTGGAGTGCTTGATTTTAAATCCACAGTGCTGTTGGAATTATTATTGTTATTGTTATTATTGGCAGAGTTATGATTTCATCATTGCTACCAATACATATTGGGACCTGCTCTGATTCTCAGAGAATCAATCAATCAGTCAACAGGTAATGACTAATACTACTTGCCAGACACCGCGCTAAGTACACGGAATACAAACATAATTGACACAATCCCTACTTGTGAGGAGCCTGAATTTTAGTGCTGGAAACAAGAATATATATATATATATACACACACACACACACACACACACACACATACACAGAATAAACAGAAAGAGAATATATACAAAGTAGTAATAGAGAAGGTAGTTTGAGAGGGAGGGCACTAGTAGGGGAGGGCATCAGGAAAGGCTTCCCAAAGAAGGTGTGATTAAGCTATATCTTGAGAGAAGAGAAGGATATGTGAGGGTGAGGTGAAGAGGCAGCGTATTCCAGCCCAGGCATGATGGACTGCAGGTGCAAAAGGCACCAAGATGAGAGGAGTGTCAAGTGTGAGGAATTGGGACAGTTTGGCTGGATCAAAGAGTAAGAGAGGGAAAATAATGTTCAATGAAGCTGGAAAAGTAGGATGGGGCAGAGTTGTGAAGGTCTTTAAAAGCTAAACAGAAGAGTCTATATTTGATCCTAGGGCCAACAGGAAGCCTCTGGAGTTTATTAAGTAAGGGAGTGATATGATCAGATCAGTTCTTAATGAAAATCGCTGGTAGCAATGTGGACTACAGTGGGTAGGGGAAAGGGCAGGAAACAAGTCAGGGAAATCAATTAGGAACTTGTTGCAGTAATCTAGGAGAGAGTGACAAGGGCTTGGTAGCTGTGTGAGTAGAGAAAGAATTGGATTCAAGAGAGATGCTGTGGAAATAGAAATATCAAGATTTGGCAACTGATTGGATACGTAGGAAGAGAGTGAGGAGTTGAGGATGACACCAAGGTTGCAAACCTGGGAGATTTGGAAGAATGGTGGTGCCTTCAATAGGGACAGGAAAGCTTGAGAAGAGTGATGCATTTTGAAGAAAACATAATGAGTTCTGTTTTGGACTTGTTGAATTTGAGAGGCCTCCAGACAACCAGTTTGAAATATCCTCTATGCAACTGGTGATATGGGATTGGAGCCTTAGGGAGATCTTAGGATAGATACATAGATCTGGAAATCATCAGGATAGAGATGATAATTAAACCCATAAAAGCTGATCAAGTCACAAAGAGAAAGAATATACAAAGAGAAGAGGAGAAGGCCTAGGACAGAGTCTTGAGGACCATCTATAGTTTGGGGGAAATTGCCTGGGGCACTAAGAGGATAAGTAACTTGCCTTAGTAGGTATATGAGGGGGAACTTGAACCCAGCTTTTCCTGATACCAAGGCCAGCTTTCTATCCACTAAGCCATGACGCTTTTAACCTTTACAAATAAGCACTGAGAAAAAGTCTAGGTGATTCTCTGTCCTTCTGGGGAATAAATCTAGGTTCATCAATAAGCAGAAAATGCCATTCCCAAGGCTGACTTTCCCTCTTCCTCTCTGGGTAATGTTTATTAAATGGGCTCTACTCACATGTCTGTTGAGTATATCCCTCACCAGCTGCAGATGAAGCCTCAGGCTGACGCATTCATCTCTGTAGGTCTTCTTGAAATAAGAGTGGCTAAAATTGAACCTGGGGTGCATGATGTCCGTCATCACTCGTGCCAAGGCAGTTCTCTCTTCCTGATCAAAGACATGTTGATAAGCTTCAAAGTAACTGTCAAGAAGCTGGAAAGAGTGGACAGAAAGTCTTTATTGCACAGTTGTTCCGTGCAATAGGACTAGAATGGAGACTGGCACTCCAGGACAGATAGAACTGTAGGACTCAATTTAATTCAACAAAGATTTATTAAGCACCTACTCTGTGTAAAGCAAAAAAAAAAAAATACAGTCCCTGCCCCCAAGGAGTTTACATTCTACAGGAATGTAATTCCAGTGCCATAGGTTATAATTTGCACCAGCAAAGGAACTTCCTACCCCTTCCCTGCTCCACTTCTACCATCACCTGGGCAAGGAAGGTAACCTCTGCTTTTGATGTTGATTTGAACTAGATTTCACTTATAATAAATGTACTAGGGATGAAAGGAACAAAGCACATCCCCTACCTATACACACTCATGCACATAAGATTGTCTTTTGCCAGGTCCATAACCCCTTCTATTTCACTGTGTATAAGTTGTAAAACCATTTCAGAGAGAGTGAGAAGGTGGAGGTATCCTGAGTAGGACACTAATACAACTTCTTGTTTAGTCAAGTTCACCCACAGCTCCTAAAAGCCAAAAAGAACAATCAGACACCAGTAATAGGAGAAAAGGTTTGGGGAGTTTGGTGGAAGCCAGAGAAGATTTCCTTCTTTAATTTGTCACATACAGTATTTGTCTGTGAACTTGAGGATTCTCTGTTCTTTATTAGTGTGTTCTAGCATTAAAAGAAACTTTATTTTCATGTTAATTAATTGGTCTTGGTGCTCATTAAAGAAGAGCCCAAGGTTAGAGTTGCATACAGAGATTCCAAAAGTCCAAAAAATAATCTATTTTCTGGAATCTCTCGTGCCATCCCTTCTGTGCCAATCCAAATCTTATTTATCCTTCGAATCCTAACTTTGTCTTTATTTCCTTCATCAAGCTTTTTTTGACTAATCATAGTGATCTTCCACTTATTTTCACATATATATGTGTGTATGTATAAATATATATATATATAAACTATAATATATTACTATAATTTACATATATGTGATATATCATCTTGGAATTGATCTTTAGTTTCTCATTGTATCCATTCATCCATCCATCCATCAATCTACCTAGTCATCTGTTCATTTGGTCAACAAACATTTATTGGAGAGAGCAATTGATTTCAAGTCATAATCACAGAATCTCAGAATCAGAACGGACCTCACAGGCCATCTAGTCCAACCTATGCCTGACCAAGAATCTCTTCTACAAGATGCCCAATAAATATTCAGCTGCTCTCTATTAGAAGACCTCTAACAAAAAGATATCTACTGTCTTCCTACCAGGGCCCATTCCACTTCAAGACAGCTCTAATTATTAGGAAGGTTTAACTCTAACAGAGTAAAAGTTGGCATCTATGGAACTTTCACCCATTGCAGCCCTTCAAATACTTAAGGATAGCTCTCATCTCCACTGTAAATCCTTTCTTCTCCATCCTAAATCTTCCTAGTTCCTTCAAATGATCCTTATACAGCATAGTAGAGAGAAAAGAAGTTCCTCCAATAGAACAAAAGCTGCTTGAAAGCAGGGACTACTTCATTCTTGACTTTGTATCCCTAATAATAGCTAGCATTTATATAGTGCTTCTAAGTTTGCAAATGTTATCTATAATATTATCAATGTTATCTAATACTGCAAATACCTCAAATATTATCTCATTTTATCCTTACAACCCTGGGAGGTAGGTGCTATCCCCATTTTACAGATGAAGAGACTGAGGCAGACAGCAATTAATAATGGCTAATAATAACAGCTAACATTTACATAGCACATACTATGTGTCAGGCACTGTGCTAAGTGCAATACAATTATTAACTTATTTGATTTTCACGTTAACCCTGGTACTATTTCTTTATAGTTGAGAAACTGAGGCTAATAGAGGTTAAGTGATATGTCCAGGGTCACATGGCTAAGTATCTGAGGCTAGATTCCACGTACTATCTATCTGCTTCTTAGCATCTAGCATGATGCCTATCCTATATTAGGTAGCTCTTCTACCATCTTGGTAGTCCTCTTAGACTACTGGTCTCCACGGTGGAGGCTGAGTGCCCTGGGTTTCGATGGTGTGACTCCCACAAGGGAACTTTGGCCTAAACTATGGGTGGGGAACCTGTGGCTTCAAGGCCACATGTGGCCCTCTAGGTCCTCAAGTGTGGCCCTTTGACTGAATCCAAACTTCACATAAAAAATTCCCTTAATAAAAGAATTTGTTCTGTAAAACTTGGATTCAGTCAAAAAGTCACATTCAAGGACCTAGAAGGCCACATGTGGCCTCAAGGTCGCAGGTTCCCCACCCGTATAAACCCAAGGGATATATGATTAACCAATAAGAGGCGGGGAGGACAATTTGAGTCCCACTCTCCCCATGATAGACAATCAGGGGACTTGTCTCCAATATACCCACCACTCACCATTAAACTCTAACACTATTTCAGGTGGACTCCTTGTTCTGCTATACACTCAAACTCCCCCTTCTGAGCTGGGCATCAGTCCTTCCGGACAACAATCACTTAACTGTTATCTTGACAGCCACAGCAGCAACTGTGCAGGCACCATGAGGAACATTCAGACCTCTCCCAGCAGCATGCTCAGTCCCTGTCCCTGGATCACCTTCTGGCTACAGCAGAGCCAAGTTCATTGTGCTCGTGGCAGTGACTGATGAGTTTCATTCTGAGTGTGACAGAGTAAATCCCACAGAATGAGCAGGCATAGATAGGCTGTGACAGATCGCGGATTTCGTTAAATTATCTTTCCTGCCAAATCCAACCTTCTTCTGAATATCTGTTATTTTGGGGAGCGTGGATATCCTTCTAAATCATTCAGTTTCACAACACCTGTGTCATATTCAACTCCTTCATCCCACACATCCAATCTGTTGCCAAATCTTTTCATTTCTACCATCCCATTTCTCCCATCTGACCTCCTTCTTTCCGAAGTCACCAACTTAGCTTTGGTCCTCTCACCTGGACTATTGCAATAATCTCCTGTTTGGTCTCCCTACCTCCAGGCTCACCCTACTAAAGTCCAGTATCCACACAGCTGCCAAAATGATTTTTCCAAAAGTTCAAGCTGACCAGTTCATTCTCCTGCTCAATAAATTCTAGGATCAAATATTATTTTAGCTTTATGTCATTCTTTTTAAATATTTATTTTTTTGCATAGGTTTTATAATGCTACATAAGTATTAGCACACTAATACGTATACACAATCTGTATATAAATTACATGCATATGTCTATACGCATGTAATTTATAAAGAAGTAAATATTGGGGAGTGCTTAGAAATGCTTTACTGATGGGGTACATGATCAGCAATGTTTGAGGCTCACTGATTTAGATGTTCTCTGGCTAATCAGACCTGTCCTTGAATCCAGGCTCCAACACCTATGGGCTATGGGCAGCTAACCCTGTCTGGACCTCAGTTTCCTTACATTTAAAATGGTGATTATTATACTTGTAGGTACCTGTCTTACAGGGTCGCTTTGAAGAAAGGGGTTGTGAGCCTTCAAGTGCTACATCAATGTGAGTTATCATTATTACTACCTACAGAATACTGTTTGAGGTAGGGGCTGGGGAGGAGAGGCAGGGAAGAGATACCATGGTTAAATTTGACACAGTCCCTGTTTTCAAGGACCTCACAAGTCTAACATGTCCATATTGTCACAACAGGGACTATTTGTACCTGACCTGTGGTAGAGCCTTTCGAGCTCATGCTGGTCTGGTCCACCACAGCTGGACACACTGCACCTTGACTCCAACATCGTGATGCCATTTTGGTCCTCTTAGAGAATAAAGGACAACAACTAACCAACCAACCAGTGCCAGAACAGCTAGACAATAATCTCTTTCAAAGCAAGGATTGCTGCTAGTTCTTCTCTATCCCTTGTAACACCTAATAAAGTTTGATAACACAGTAAGTGCTTAATGTATGCTTGTTGAATGTGGAATGAAGGCATTTTTAGCACCCTTAGCCATTCTGGTGCACTGTTTCCCTGCCCTTCCCATCTACCTATCAACAGGCCTCTTACTTCCTCCCCAAAAGTTTTGTCCTGGAATTAAAAGGACCTGAGTTCAAATCTGACCTCAGACACTTACTAGCTATGTGACCCTAGGAAAGTCACTTAATCCTGTTTGCCTCAGTTTCCTCATCTATAAAATGAGCTTGAGATAGAAATGGCCAACCACTCCAGTATCTTTGCCAAGAAAGCCCCAAGTGGGGTCAAGAAGAGTCAGACATGACTGAAAAATGACTGAACAACAACAAAAGCTCTGTCAGATAACACACCCTGGGAACCATAAAGCCAAAAATTCAAGCTATACATGTTGTTGTACACCAGGGTCAAGTCAAGTTGTTTGAAATATTAGGAAGGTCCCTGCATTTGGAGTCAATGGATTTGTATTTGAATTCCATCTCTGCCATCTACTTAACCTGTGTGACCAGGCTGGGCAGGTGTACTCTGGAGTTTTGCAGTTGCATAGTACTGGTGGGCTGAGAATTTGACACCTTTGGTGTAGAACACAGATCACAGATCAAATTCTGTCTCAGGTACTTAACAGCTTTGTGACCCTGGGCAAGTCACTGAAACGCCCCTGAGCTTCAGTTTCCTCATATTTAAAATGGAGATAATACTGTCAGCCTTACAATGTTATTGTCAGTGTCAAATGAGATAACAAAGCAATCAATCAACATTAAGCATTTACTATATGCCAGGCATCATGCCAAGCACTAGGGATATAAAAAGAGGGAAAAAACAGTCCTGCCCTCAAGTAGTTTACAATTTAATGGTGGAGGCAACACGCAAACAAACATATACAAAGCAAGCTATAGACCAGATAATTAGGAAATAATTAACAGAGGGGGAAGGCGGGGAAGGTTTCCTGTAGAAGCTGGGATTTTAGTTGGGACTTAAAGGAAGCCAGGGAGGTCAGTAATTAAAGTAGAGGAGGGAGAACGTTCCAAGCATGGAGGACAGCCAGGGAAAATGACTGAAGCTGCGAGATAGAGTTCTTGTTCACAGGACAGCCAGGAGGTCAGTGTCATCGGATCTAAAGCACCATACAAGCGCTGACTAATACTACTTTGCTAATTATCCTACCACCCTATTCACAATGAAATGTAAGCATGAGGCGTCCAAGTCAGTGTCTGGACCATGAAATCATGTTTTCTAACTTGTTACAACACACTCAATTCTTTAATAATCAGCTGATTTCCAAATGTGAGAGCATAGAATAGGAACAAAGGGAGAAGATGGTAGGATTGGGAAAGGAAGGGTATCACTCAATAGCCCTGGGGATGAGATTAGGAAAGAAGCACTTCCTCCTTGAATTCAGACTGCTCTAACCTGAACATTTTTGACTAAAGCCAATCCCAGGAGCTGGTCTTATTGGCTACTTAACTTCTTTGACCTCCTTTTATACAAAAGGCCCCACCGTTCTATTATTCAGAGAGGGGAATGGCATTCTGTGTGAGTGGTCCCTGGACTAGGCTGCTCTGCTCACTCTTTCTATTAGAGAAGGGAGATCCAGGTTTTTTTTTTAAAATGACACTGGCTTTCTCAATACTTTAACCTCAACTTAAACAAAGTCTGAGATGGGCCCTTGCATAATCTATTTGTGGACTCTGTCCTGACAGGCTTGAGGTTTTATAAAAACCACAGGGTAGTTCTATTCCAGGGCTTCTATTACATATTTGCAAACTGGAAAGTTTCTGTTTTTCCTTGTGGTCTGGTATTTGTCTAAGAAGGCTTCACAACATGTCAAATGTCACCTGTATGTGCAGGCTGCCTGGTCAAGGGCCAGCACTCAGGCAAAATTACCTAGTACAGTACATGCCCAGGGGAAAGTTTGTTAAAGTGAATAGTTCCTTTTTAAAAATAGATTTTATTTATATCTTTTGTTTTAACTCTGCCTAGTTTTCCCCTATAACCTTACCTCCTCTCCCCTGAGATGCCTTATAAAAACAACTTTTTTTTTCAAAAAGAAAAAGAGAAAGAAAAAAATTCAGCAATGCTGAATTGCTCGGTACTGAATAAATTGCTCAATAAAATGCTCAATACATTAACTAAAAAATCTGACGTGCAATATTACACATCCATGGACCCCCACCTCTGCAAAGGAATAAGGGAGGCATTTCCTCATGTCTCTTGTTTGGGGCCACTCTTGGTCATAATAATTTTGCAACAGAAATCCTCAATTTTTTTGTGGTGATGGGTTGTTCTTTTCATTTATTTGCATTGTTGTAGTCATCGTGTATCTTGTTTTCTTAGCTTTGTTTACCGCAATTTCTATTAGTTCATGTAAATTAAAATGGATACTTTCAAAGCTATTCATATTTCTTTTACAGGAAGTTTCTTCATTTTTTCTAAAGTATTACAAAATAATATCTTAGGTCTAAGTGAAGAAAAAAGCAAAAACCAGAAATAATAAACTTCCAGGCAGGGCCCAATCCCTGATCAATACTCAGCTTTCCAAATGGGCTCCTCTTAGGTGAAAAATCTCCCCAGCATTACCTTCCTACATTGGTGCTTGTAATTTTCCCCAGAGTGACAGTCCCTATATATACTCATTTGTGCTTGCTTAAATACAGCGATACAGTCAGGGAGAGTCTAGAGAGCTCTCAGAAACACCTGACTACTCTGAACAAACAAATTTGATGTTTCTTCAAGTTGTATTTCTTCAGTATCAAACCACATTGTCTCTTGCCTCATTAACAGTTACACATTGTCAGACTGCTTTAAGAGAAAAGTCAGAAGGCTCTGAGAATTTAAATCTTCTTTGTAATCATAATTTACATTAATAAAGCACTTTAAAGTTTGTTCCTATGTCTTCCTCACAATAACCTTTTGAGGTAAGTAGTACCAGTATAATAGTCCTCACTTCAAAGGTGAGGAAACTGAGGTGTGTGGTTACGTCACTTGTCTATGATTGTATAGCTAGTAAGTGTGAGGGGCAGGTTTTCTGGACTCCAGATCCAGCATTCTTTCCAAAGAAGTATCACTATAACACCATGCTGCTTATACAAATATCTTTAACAATCATAAATAGGGAAGGTAGGGTGGAGCAGTCGTTTACCTTAATTGGCATTAAAGGGTTCATGGGGCAGGTAGGTGGTGAAGTGGATAGAGCACCAGCCCTGGAGTCAGGAAGACCCGAGTTTAAATCTGACCCTAGATACTTACTAGCTGCATGACTTTGGGCAAGTCACTTAACCCTGCTTGCATCAGTTTGCTCATCTATAAAATGAGCCAGAGGAGGAAAGGGCAAACTACTCCAGTATCTTTGCCAAGAAAACCCCAAATGGGGTCACTGAGAGTCAGACATGACCAACATGCTTGGACAACAACAGAAAGCTCAAGTTAGAGCAACAAGGAACCTTAGAGATCATAGAGGCCCACTGTGCAGGTGATGGGTGAAAGTACACCCTAGACAGGTTCAGACATACCTTTGGTTTTACAAAATTTTCTTTTTGGACTGGACTTTGTGTGTGAGGAAATTCCTCTGTCAATGCAGATTGGCATATTCTTTGCAATTTTACATCTTAAAGAAATACCCACTGAGAGGTTAAATTAATTGCCCAGGGTCACATGGCCAGTTAAAGGTCATAGGCAGGAGCTAATATAATAAAAATGACAATTCTACCTAAGCTAATTTACTTATTCAGTGCCATACCA